GGTGGCGCATCAAAATGGCCTCCCGACAGTAGCGTCACGGCTACTTACCAAGTCAGTGAAGAAGGTGCTGGTGCACCCTGAGTACTCTCTTAAAACATGAAGGTAAAGTGGCTGACGAACATATTGTCGATCTTTTATTTTTATTGTTATTTTTAAAAAGCACAAAACACCTCTTTTGAACTGGGACAATCTTTGTCTCACCATCTTAACTTTAGATTTATTCATTTCAGGAATATATAAGCTGTCTTTTTAGGACAAAACCAACCCAAGGTGACTTCCAACAGAATACGAGCAATATAGAAATATAATGAAATGAAGAAAACATGACGATGAATCAACAGGAACCAGCAATGACACTAGGCCCAGTAAAAACATACAAATGTAATAACCGAAGTAGAGATAAAAGCAGCACCAATAATACAGCACCCCAATAATATTGTGAGAAAGTCACAATGAACAAATAAGTTTTTAGGACCTGCTTAAAGGTTATGGCACCTGCCTTTTACAAAATCACTAAAGGGTTGGATATGTGCAAATCATGTGAACAGCAGCATTCTGGGATAAATATGTCACCTTTTCGGAGGGGCAGGCGAGGGTGAGCAAAGATAGGCGAAAGGAAAAGAGAGGGCACTAGGAGACAGTGGGCTCTTACCCCTAATATTCCCAAGAGCCTCTATTATTGTTTGGCTGAGTTGGAATGCCTATGTACATTGACACAGAACTATTTAGAAGGGAGATAAGGAACTCAGTTCACATTTGGCTTCCATTTCAACATGCCTGTTGTTTCACCGGTGATTGGAAATTTTGCTTAGCCTTTTGACCATAGTCAAAAATGCTGTTGTTGTTGTTAGGGGTTGAAGAAGTATGTAAAGGTGTTTAACCATCCCTGATAAACTCTATTGCAAGAGTGTCTAATCTTCCTTTACCTGATAGTTCCCTGGTTAGGAATGCGCCTGCATGACCTCTCAAACCTCCCCAATTGGTCTTATGTTTATCTCAATTTTGTGCAAAGAAGGTTGGAAACATTTTCTTTTCTCTTTTGTATGTCAAAATGAAGTTCCATGCTTCCGGAATGGGGGGGGGGGAGAACGGGTGTACAAAACATATTAAAAAAGAGTAAAACTACTTTCCTCGTGAAAGGTCTTTTCAGGGCCGGCCCTGAAGACTGAAACTTGCTGCTACCACCAGAGTCACACAACCCCGGTAAGCAGGTTTCAGCAGGGGTGGCCCCTTCCCATTTCGCCTCAGGTGGCAAAATATTCTGGGCTGCCCCTAGGTCTTCTACGCATATAACAATCACTACCACGATACATGTCATGTGCATTGGGGGATTCTGGGGCCTTCGTTCCTTTGACACTCCACTCCACCAGGAATGGAGAATGTGTGGCCCTCCAGATATTGATGGCTTCCAACTTCCCCCCACCCCCAGCCAGCTTGGCCCATAATCAGGTATGATGCAAGATGAGGTCCAGCCATCTTTATTCACACTGGAAAGTCATTCAACTCAGGGTCACGAGCTTGAAGGTCTTTGGATCAGTGAGTGACTTTCTCCAGAACCATGCCAGCTAGAGGGAGAGAGGTTGAGTTTCTTTGGGATTATAGGGCTGAGAATTCTTTGGGTGGGGGGAAAGAATGTGTTTTGAAGGTGCTTCAGAAGTATAGTGTGTGCATAGCCCAAGACTGCTCCTCTACAGGAGCTAAATGCTAGCAAGTGTTTCCCTAGGGCAAGAGTGGGGTACCTGTGGCCCTCCAGCTGTTGTCAACTCTAACCCCCATTATCTTCAGATATTATGACCCAAAAGTCTAGGATGATGGAAGCTGCAGTCCAGCAGCATTTGGAGGGCCACAGCTTCCCCAACCCTGCTGTACGTTATGGTACTGGCAACTTTTTAATGTACACATTAGACATCAAGAGGAGGAATTTTTTTTGGTCAAGCCTTGGTACTACAATGCTTACATTTCTAGAGCAGAGATTAGAAGCAACAATACTGTGCACTTGGGGGGGGGGCTTTTTCATTCACATCTTGCCGTGTAAATCCCCATATTCTGCTCCTTTCCTGCTGGATTTCTGGTTTCATTGCAACAGACAGTGCAAAGCAAAGGCAGTCTTTTTCAGACCATAAATAATATAAAGCCAAAGCAAAATCTTACCTCATACTTCAGGACAAATAACTCCCTTGGGGAAAGCCCACGTTCTAGCTTAAAGCACATGCTGATATTTGAAAAGTCCAACACCCCAACCAAGTCCCTTTGTAATAAACTCTTACACTGTACCTTTAAAACTTAATGGTCTGTGAAAGTTATTATTGGATGTTTTTAGCATGACGTGCCATTCAGACTCAAGTTTATGAAGTGCATGAGGGCTGCTTCAAAATGACAAAGCTCTGTATGGAAAGTCCTTCCACATAGGAATCACTGTGCAGCCTAGGTGGGGTTGTTTGATGGCCTTATATGCACCTATCTGTGTATCTCTTTTAAATTTGAAATAAAATCCTGAATTGCCCAGAATAACCAATTTTCACTTATTAGGATAACATGTGTGCATGTGTATCCCATCCACAAAATAATGTATGTATTGTGATGTTTGCACATATAAGGGAATCCAGTTCACAGCAAATCTTTGAAAATACAGTAGTTTTTCAGCATTTCAAGCAAAGCACACATACACTTTTCATTTTAAAAAAACCACACATAAATAAAATATTGTTTATCATCTTATAGAAGAATAATAGTGAAGTGAATAATTAATGAATTTATATCCTTTCTCCCAAATAAGTCCAGGCCAGCAAACCACCCAGAAAAATGGTGTTACTGAGCAAGCTACATAAATGGCACAAACAAAATAAAATTATTATTATTATTATTATTATTATTATTATTATTATTATTATTATTACACTGCCTCTCAACCATATTCTCAGGTATTTGTACAAAGAATTTAAAAGTTGAAAACTGCTGTGGTAGATAAGCTATAAATGTGTTTTTGAAAAAGAGATAGCTTTTGAAGGCTTCCATACTAGAATGCAACTGAGGCAGTGACATTTAAATGGATGGTGCTTCTAGACTGTTGCTGTTTTTGGGTGGGATTCCTTTTATACCAGCAAATTTAAGTTGCACAATGATAGTTGATTGGGAGGTCTTGCGCAATGAACCAGCTCCACCCCAAAATTACCCCCCCCCTTTTTGGCAATAAGGAAAGTGACAGGAAAATGCACTGGAAACTGTGGGCTAACACATGCTTTGGCCCAGCGTTGTCTAACCTCCCTGTGAGGTAAGCCAACATCATCTAACCTCCTTGCAAACAAATCAGGATGAATGCCCAGGAAAACAGGGTGTCTGGAAGCACCCAGAGATTCAGCACTAGCACAGAATATAGTGCTATGCCCTCCAGCGGTGCTTTTGCCACACAAATCCTCCTCTGATTACTCACAAGGAAGTCCAGCTCAACAAAGGTCCTTTCCAATCTTAACTTAAAATTCCAAGGTCCTGTGTATTGTTGCTTCCTGTTGAGCGTGGCTGGGGAATTAGTGATGAGCACTTTTATTTGTCTTTGGAAGAATCTCTGCAGTCCTATACACTCTTATCTGGGGGTCCCAGTGAACACAGCGGGGATTTCTTCAGAGTAGACCTGTATAAGATTGCACTGTTAATTGCCCTCACGTCAGTTTCTGGCCCGTAGGGAGTAGGCTTTAATTACTGATTTCCTCACATTTTTTCCTTGACATTTTTATATTGAACTAGCATACAGAACGTAAGGGGGAAACAGTAATTAAAGCTTCTCTCCGCTGATGCCTCAGCTACAACATATTCCCTAGGCTACAAGAAATTAGGCAGGATGTATGAACTGGAAGCTTGTTAAGGAAAGGCACAGCAGCTCCGAAAAGCCTTCAGAGCACTTAGCCTGTCCACAATGATGCCTGCAACACATTTGATTGCAAAAAGAGAGACGCTAACCAGGTCTTTCTTGACTTTGATGCATGCAGGGGTAGCCAACGTGGTGCTCCCCAGATGTTGTTGGACTTCAGTTCCAGTCAGCCCCAGCTGGCGTGGGCAAAGGTGTTTTGGTGAGAGGTACTTTAGTGAGACCTACCTTAGGAGATGTTTGGCCAAGAGGTGAATCGGAAAATAGGAAAATGGAAAGTACCTCTCCATTGTATTTTTCATCTGTCTACCAGTGGCTGGCTGAAGGTCACCTCGTAAATTTCATGGCCAAGAGAGCATTGGAATCATACTCTTCAGGTCCTAGTCCAACACTCCCATAGCTTTTAGGGTTCTTGCCTTGTTTGTTTTGCATAGTTACTACCTATATCCCATGCTTCCAATGAAGAACAGCGCTCAAGGCAGCTCACCCCAAACCACCAGCAATGGAGGACGTAACATGAAATAATGATGATCGAAGGACACAAAATCAGAGACGGTGATGGCAGGTCAGATAACTTCAAAACAAGGAGCAGCATTATTTAACCTTCCAACGGGTAGGTTAGAATGATATATAAAAAGAAGCCTAAAGTCAACAAGCTTTGTGGCTGAAAAAGGAATTCTGATCTTGGTCTCCCCCCCCCCCCCCCCGGTATAACAACACTCTGTTTCTTATGCCACACTATCATCTAGCCAGCTTGCACTTCAGCTGGGGCTCCCACTTTTCTAAGCGCCTCCCCTCAACTCACCCTGGCTCTTTATAGTTCTCCTCAGCTGGGAAAGGGGTTTAGCATAATCACTGCTTACTAGGGGTGTTATTTCCAGAAAGAGGAAAGCTACGTAAGATAGTTGAGTACGGTTCAGTTCCATCGGATCAGAAGGACATGGACGCACGCAACACTTGAGTAATGTATGCCCGCTGTGATCTGGTGCAAACTGCAAAGTATTATTATTTATTATTTATTGAATTTATATACCTGGAGGTCTCAGGGCGGTTCACAGAACAAAATCAAAATATAAAACCATGAAATATATAATCAAAATAAAACAACAACCCAATAACATGCCCCAACCAAATAAACATTTTAAAAGGGAAAAGGGCAATAAAATGTCTAGTCAGGCAGCATTTATATATTTTTCTTCCTATACTTTGAGCAATATGCTTGAACACTTTACTCTAGTTATAAAATGGGAATAGTAAGTAACCAACACCACAGGACTGTTGTGAGAGGAAATGCAGTGAACACTGGTAATTTACGGGCAAACTGAAAATGCTGAATAAATGATTAAGTGTGGTGCAATTATTTTCTAGGTCTCATGTGTATTTTTAAAACATTCAGTTTCAATCTATAAGAAGTCAGCACTAAAGGGAGAATAAATGAGAGATAAAGGTTTGAGCATTTTAAAAACACATAAACAATGCACACTTGCAGATAGAAAGAAACTGAAGCCAGGGCCTGAAATGTTTTTGCTCTGCATTTAAAGTCAGAAACAGGAGCAAATTCTTTCATACTTTCCCAGACTATAGCAATGCCCTTGACAATCAGATAACCCATAGTCCGCAAAATCTGAAATATGTCATCAAGACTTTATTTTACTGCCCAATGTTCCTTGGCCCTGTTGCGTCTCTCAGGCTCTGCTCACCCCCACAAAGCTTACTAGACTATACAAGCAAAAGCTAAGCCAATGAGAGGAAGGGGTGGGCTAAAACATCAAAAGAAGATGCGGTGAAAAGGGGAGCAGGGCTACATACGCCACGGAATGGAGCAGTACAGAAAACAGTGAAGTAAAATGTGATGGAGCAATCTTGTTTTTGCCTCCCACTTCCGTGAGCAATGGGAGGTTCAGGGACGCCTTCAGCAAGAGTCTGGGGGAGCGGATCAGGGAGAGAGCTTTGCAGACTTAGGATGATTTTGTTAAAGCAACAACAGCAACACAATACTATTAATCTGAAATGTCTAAGTTGAAAAGTCGGAGGTGCAGCAGCAAGTATAGACACCGCTGGTCTCAGACTATCGTTTCAAAGGCCAGCTACCTGAGCGCACAGGCTAGACAGCTGTCTTCAACCCAGCAGCTGCCCACAGAACTATTGTCCAGCCCTGTGGACAGTGGCAATACATGTTATGTGGAGCTACCATTGGGCTTGGTGCAGAAGCTTCAGCTGATGCAACATATTGACAGCTAGATTGTTAGTCTAGTCGTTTCTGGTGCTTGCAGTGGCTGCTCATATGCTACCAGGCCAAGTTGCTGTTAGGTTAGGCTTTACTTGAAAATTTACATCCATGAATCAAATTAAATTATTAAGTAAAGCAGTGTTGTCTTAAGGTGAGACAGTTATCTTAAAATTCAACAACATAGAAGGGAAGGTCCCCCCAATATATGGTGGCTCACATTGCTCAATCCATACTTTCTATCAGACCTCTCTGAGTTGGCCCACCTCTTCACCATAGTCACCATTGCCCATTCAGTGACACACTCCCTCTGGGTCCAGTGTTCCCAGAAAGAACATCAGGAGGAAGGTGGAGGATACTGTTCCAGCTTCTCACTCTTGCCACTGCTTGCCTGCCCAGAAAGGCAACAGTAGGACCAGGAAGGAAGGAAGGAAGGAAGGAAGGAAGGAAGGAAGGAAGGAAGGAAGGAAGGAAGGAAGGAAGATATATGATTTTAAATAGTATAAGCACATTACAAACAACAATTCAAAATCCAAATATCAAGATTATTCTGAATCTCCTGACTTCCCCCCATCCCTTCCAGGGGTCCTGATGATAATATTTACACCTGTATATCAATATGTATCCAAATTCTTATCCTTCTAAATTATCCATACTTTCTGTTACTTTACAAGTGTGGTTAATATCCTGCCAGTGTTTTAAGCCGCTTGCAGTGGTCTTGTAAATAAATCATAAACTTTTCCCATTTTCTTTCAAAGTTCATGTCTTCTTGATTTCTAAACTTCCCAGTTAATTTTGCCATTTTGACATAGTCCATCATCTTGGTTTGCCATTATTCTCTGGTCGGGGCTGTTTCTTCCTTCCATCTCTGGGCTAGTAGTATCCATGTAGCTGCTGTCGCATACATGAACAATCTTTTCTGGTCCTTTGGAATCTCGGTACCTATAATTCCTAATAAGAAAGCTTCTGGTTTTTTAACAAAAGTTATTTTAAACATTTTTTTCATTTCATTATATATCAACCCCCCCCCAAATTAATTACTTTACATATCCACCACATATGATAAAAGGTACCTTCTTTTTCTTTACATTTCCAGCAAGTTTTTGTGCTCATTCTTTACATTTTTGCTAATTTAAAGGTACCCCTGCCCGTACGGGCCAGTCTTGACAGACTCTAGGGTTGCGTGCTCATCTCACTCTATAGGCCGGGAGCCAGCGCTGTCCGCAGACACTTCCGGGTCACGTGGCCAGCGTGACAAGGTGCATCTGGCGAGCCAGCGCAGCACACGGAATGCCGTTTACGTTCCCGCTGGTAAGTAAAGGTAAAGGTACCCCTGCCCATACGGGCCAGTCTTGACAGACTCTAGGGTTGTGCGCTCATCTCACTCTAGAGGCCGGGAGCCAGCGCTGTCCGCAGACACTTCCGGGTCACGTGGCCAGTGTGACAAAGCTGCATCTGGCGAGCCAGAGCCGCACACGGAACGCCGTTTACCTTCCCGCCAGTAAGCGGTCCCTAATTTATCTACTTGCACCCAGAGGTGCTTTCGAACTGCTAGGTTGGCAGGCGCTGGGACCGAACGATGGGAGCGCACCTCGCCGCGGGGATTCGAACCGCCAACCATGCGATCGGCAAGTCCTAGGCGCTGAGGTTTTACCCACAGCGCCACCCGCGTCCCCCCCTTTTTTTTTGCTAATTTAGCAAGGGTCAAATACCAAGGAAACTCTATTTTTTCAATTATGAAGAAGAAGAATATGTATAATTTGGTACCCTGTTTTGTTGATCAAATAAAAAAAGGGTGACATATAAATGGTCCGTATGTGAGTTTCCCATATAAACCTTGTTAACCAAAATATGATGTAATGTAGATGCTATTGAAAACTGGTACTCTCATTCCCCCCCCCCCCCATTAACATAAATATTCCTGCCTTTCCTTTCCTTTGTATCCCTAATCTTTTGTTCATTTAATTCACTGGTAAGTGCTAAGCAAGCAAGCAAAAAAAAAAAAAAGGCCCCACCTTCCCAAGTGAAGATTACCCAACAAAAGAAATTCATTTGGGCTAAATAGGAGGCCATTATCATACCTTGCATTCCCTGCTGTCACAAACTATATTTCCATGGGCAAATGAACAGGTAAAACTCCCCAGATTGGGGAACAAGGCACATCTTTGAGGACTCTATTGAAAACCTCAAAGTAAACAGCAATCTGGAATGTATTAAGGACAGTTTAGATGTAAATGGTTCTAACCTTCACAAGAACTGTATTTTATCTTTACCTGTTTTATTGGGAAGGTCTTTCAAATTATTGCATTAATATCCCACCTTCATTGACAGAATTCAAGGCAGCATACGCAGGTTGATGTACCCAGTGTTGGCTTTGCACCTGCAGAATGCACTTCCTCTCGTCCAAGTCAAAGCACTGAATTTTCAAATCCCCATGCCCACCACCAACTGCAGTACTCTGTGCCACCTTCCAGAGGGTTCACCAGCACACACAAATTGGGTACACAAAAATAGGTAGGAGAGCTCAGCAAAAATGGGATGCCCTGCCTTACATGAGTCGAAGCACTTTCTGCTAGTGCAAAGGCACCATCCATGGTTCCCAGGAGGTCTCCCAGCCAGGAACTGAGACACAGATCTGATGATTGTGAACCTAGATGATGTTCTATGCCTATAGTGTACATGGGATTTTGTTTGTACCTGGGATGGAGGGGGGGAACAGTGTTTGTCTACTGGCACATTCAAAGTTTCTTCCACAGATATGGCCACTGTTTCTTCTTTTGTTAAAAAACATATCTATTTAAAATGTATGTCTTGCTTTTCCAACTGAAGCTCATAGTAGGTTAGTGGAACAATCATTAAAATAATATAATAAAATATTTAAATAAGAAAACAAACATCTGTACAACCAATACAAAAAAACACTAACTAGAATAGCTTCTAATGGTAAAAGGTGTTGCCGTAAGTCATTGCTGCTAATGTTGGTAACTTTAGTAATTGCTTCTAATCTGATTATGTTTTCTCATTACTGTATCTTACGAAATCTGGTACCCCACTTTGAAGGAGCAACCACACTTTAAAAGGTGGTATATAGATCAGCTAATAGACAGACTAAGAGAAGTAAAGGAAATACTTTGCAAAACCATGTTTAACTTTCCATTCTAACAGCTAAAGGTGGCATGCACTAGCAAGTAAACCCAGGAAGCAAGTTTCACAATTGCAAGAGCGGAACAGAAAAGGCTAAGAGCAATGCTTCATTGAAATACCTTACCATACAGTGGGTTGGTGAAGGGTGTCAAATGGGAAGATGCATGGCTGGTTCAGGCTATCCCTAGAAAAACTAGCATCTTGGATTTTGCCTGGAAACCAAAGTGCCAAAGCATATCAGTGATATCCATCGCTTGATAACAATCAAATCAGTAGCATCAAGAAATACAGTAAGTTTAGAATCCTCAAGAATAGCCCCACAAAGTCCACATGTTACAACAATTTAAAATCCAGTATTAGAAATGGTTAAAGCAAATTACGGTCCTGGGAATAGGGTGGATCCTGTAAACACACAGTGTTGATAATCCATGCTATAAAAGTAGGTGAATACCTCTGCAGGGGCTGTAACTTGGCAGGTTATCAGACACACTTGTCCAAGGATCCTGTCTGCATCCTCTCAGGCAACAAAACCTGAAACTGACCCAAAACAATTCCGGTAAACAGGAGTTATGAGAAACCTCTGGCCCAGACTGCAGCAATGATGGAGTCCAAGCCACATCACAACAAACTCTGTCTCTTAACTGCCTTCAAATTAGGCACGGTCAGCAATTGAAAATATGCAACAGACAACAGTAATACCAGCGTGTAAAAGCACCCAGGAGAAAACAAGCTACAGTTCAGAAAAAGAGAGACTGCGCCACTTTCTTCCCAATGTATTTTATTTTGGGAGGAAATGTTTTCTCAACCCAATGCAAGACTTACAGATCTGGAAATTAGCTATGCATTGATTGTTAAGTTTATACAGTATAAACAAACTTTTAAATTCTCCCCCCACTCCAGATACTTTATTACAGCTGTTTACACATAATTACTATATTACATTTTTATCCTGCCCTTCCTCCAAGCAACTCAGGGCAACATACATGGTTGTGCCTCTGCCCATTTTATTCATACAAATACACCATGAAAGATGGTGACTGGCCTATAGCCACCAGTATGTTTCATGGCTGAGTGGGCCTTTGAACTCATGAGCCACATTGGGTTGGATCTGGTCAAAGGTTTCGGTGGCTTGTTTTCTGGTGGTGATCCTAACAGATTCACAGCACAGGACTTCTAAACAAAGCAGAGAAAAGCATAGTGCTAAAGTTATGGGAAAGGGTACCTAGAAACAAATCTGTTGATACTGTAGGGGAGCTCCTCAATCTATGGCTCAGCCACAATAAATAGGTAGCTATCATTCTCACCTCCCAGAAAGTCCCCCAAACCAGTTAGCTCCAGATCATTTTCTCAGGAGATCAGGCGGACTGAGAAAGGCGGTTAGAGATTTCAAAGCAGTGGCTGGCCGGCCACCAGTCAGGGATGTTGTAGTAGTTAATTCCCTGCATTAGCAGGGGCTTAGACAACGTGACCCTTTAGGGTTCCTTCCCACTGTATAATTCTGCTTATGACAAAGTTAAATGGTGATTGCTGACCAGGTCTGTATATCTTGAAAGCTGTGATCTTATATACATTTACAAGTCCCGCTAAACTTGAGTAGAATTGCGCTGCTAGTCAAAGAGCATTCAAACGCGCAGGAAAAACATGCATGCATTCAAAGGAAACTGGCACATTCTAGGAAACGCCGCTCAAATTAAAAATTGGCCGTGTCTTGTTTTACATACAGTCAATCAATCAAATTCAAAAGCTGATTTTTCTTTAAACTATTTGGGTCAAATTTTTCTTCATGTCTCTTGTCATAGCCTAAGAAGACCTTATCAACACAGATGAAGCCAAAAGTTCCCTTTCTTCATTCAAAGAAAAGTGAGTTTTAAGTGTTCTTCAGAAGATAACAAAACCCAAGGTACTCTCCAGTCCAGTGTCCTTGTGCTGAGTCACTTTAACTATTAACATCCTGGCCTACATTTGTTGTTATTTACATTCTGGAATCACAATGCAATTAATGACTCTGCAGTGATGTCCAAGTGCCCTTCTCCTATAACTGCATGTCTGTCTTTTGAAGCATTCATATGCTAAAGCCCTTCACAGAAAGTGACTATTGTTCCTCTTTGGCCTTCCTTCATCTCCACTCAGGCTAGTCTATTTAAATGACAACATTCAAAAGGTTAACCAAGCCACCCAAGTGCCTTTTTAAAAAAAAGAAAATAAAGGAAATCCAAGTCTAGTAAAAGCAATAAAAAAGCAGAGTAAATTGCAGCTGGCTAAATGCCAGATGAAAATTAAGAGGGAAAATTTGAAAACCAATATGCAGCCAAGACTACGGAGGTGCGAGAAAAGAAAAGAAAGACATTTCGATTAGACTTGCAAATGTTCATAATCTTCCGGTGAAAGTTATACTTTTGCATCACTTCTTCACAAAGAATAGGGGGATAAAAAAAAAAGCCACCCCGTCATAAAGATGAGATTATGAGGAAGGCGGGAGTGAATCAATAAAGGAGGCACTATGGAACAAACTCAGATAAGGTCTTGGGGGCAATCTGGAGAATGTTAGGAAAAAAACTAAATCCTATTGAAATCAATGGAACTCACACTGGCATTTAAGTTGAAAAGTGCTTCCCAAAGACTTGGTCGGCACTGATCTTTCCCCCAGATCAGTACTTTGCTAAATTATATTAATAATTGGGCTAGCCTTATTTCAGTTTGAAAAAGACCCTACATCATACTGTAACAGGTTGTGCCTACTGAGAGGCTCCAGTTCTGCTTGGGTTGATATTGGTGGCAAAATGTCTGTTACCACATACAAAAATAGGATCTAAACCAAGCACACGAAACTGATTTTGTTATTTTTTAAAAAAGAAAATCAATTAAACAGCTGCCACATTCTCTTTTAAGTACTTGAGAGCCAGTGTACTGTAGTAGGTGAACTGTTCTGAGTATCAAGTTTGAGGATATTGGGTAGTTTTAGGTTCATATCCCCAATCACCCATGGAGTTCTCAGTCTGAGGTACCGTTTAGTGAACCTCAAAAGGATATTACAATAACAAACCACAGTGTCACATAAATGGTGGAGCAAATTTGCTTTCTGATGCTCCAGAGGTTAGGACCCAAAAGAACGGGTTCAATGAACAAGAGGATTTTGACTAAATGTTAAAAGCAGACTGCTTCAGACACTGGTGGAAACTCATTGCTAGAGGTTTTTATGCAGAGCGTGAATGGCCACCTCTAAGTTATATTGTGTCTGATTTTCTGCATTGAACTATAGTCAGATTATCTCCTTTCCATCGCTATGAGTCTGTGAAATAGGCCATTCAGTAGTATTTCAACCATATACATATTTAAAGTTTTCATTTTCAATCGCATATACTGATGTGGTGAGGGAGAAGGGGAATTTTTACTTGCCCCATATTCTGCTGCAGATTTTATTTCACTGGGGGACAGCAAGGGTAGGACAACTCTGTAATTCAGACCAAATATTTGGTTGCACATTTGTTATGCATAGAATTTATCCAAAGCAACCTCTCCATTCCTTAGCTGCTTTGAGATGCATCTCACTTTGGGAAGCATTCACAAATTCACTTAACACTGATTAAAGGTAAAGGGACCCCTGACCATTAGGTCCAGTCGCGGTCAACTCTGGGGTTGAAGTGCTCATCTCGCTTTACTGGCCGAGGGAGCCGGCGTACAGCTTCCGGGTCATGTGGCCAGCATGACTAAGTCGCTTCTGGCAAACCAGAGCAGCGCATGGAAAAGCCGTTTACCTTCCCGCTGGAGCGGTACCTATTTATCTACTTGCACTTTGACGTGCTTTCAAACTGCTAGGTTGGCAGGAGCTGGGACCGAGCAACGGGAGCTCACCCCGTTGTGGGGATTCGAACCACCGACCTTCTGATCAGCAAGCCCTAGGCTCTGTGGTTTAACCCACAGTGCCACCCGCATCCCTAACACTGATTAATGACCCCTTATTGCTCTTTTGTTCACACAGAGTTGTTAGGATTCTTTGAAAAGCCTTTAGAATGCTACCTTTTTTTAAAAGGCAGAATACAGTTCTTCCTCACCCTTGCCAGTGATTGAGAGAACAATCCTACATTAAATACATTATAAGAAATGGGGATGGATGGGTGTGGGTGTGTGTGTGTGTGCGCGGAATTGGTAACCAATGCAGTCAGGCCAGGACTGGTGTTATGTGCTCAGACCCATCTTGCCCCAGTGAGCAACCTGGCCTCTGAATTCTGCAGTAGCTGAAGTTTCTGAGCAGTCTGCAAAGGCAGCCCATGTATAACACTGCAATGCGTAACCTAGATGTTACCAAAGCAAAGACAAAGCTGATAGGAGATACTTCATGCCACCACAGCCACTTGAGCCTTGAGTAATAGATTCAGAAATACCCGCAAGCTACTCACCTGTTCCTTGCCCATCACAATATGATTTATGCAGGGACCAAGCAAATGTATTGACTCCCCATGAGGACTTTGCACCCACTTGGCTCCTCCTCAGTCATTTTAGCTCTGTGTAGCAGGATTTCATCATGCAGGATTTGGCTTAGCGTTGGTCTGAACAGGATCATAATTAAGCACGCTCCTCAAATACAATCAAGAACAAGTCTTGGCTACAAATTGTGGCTGGGGAGAAGAGGGCTTTACCACGATCCTGTGTTTGGACAACACGCAGTGCCAAACCTGGGCTAAGCTGCCATGCTATGCTAAGCTAATAGGACCAGGGGAGGAGCAAAGGGGATGTAATGTCTAGGAGCCAGCATGTTTGCACTGTGTCATGGTTTGATTTAGCCCCACGTGCAAATGGAGCAATCGAATCACACAATTCAAATATGGTCAGAGGCAGTAATGCTTTTGAACACCAGTTGCTGGAAACTGCAGGAGGGGGAAATGTACTTGCGCTCTGTAGCTACTGTGGGGACAGGATGCTGAACTAGTGGGCCTGATCCAGCAGGCTTTTCTTACATTCTAATGTTTATACTAAATAAACCATCTCACCCCTTGCTTTTTCCTGTAAGACCAATTGCAGTCGTCAACAGGTTTACCACACGTATCAGCCAGTCACCCATTCCCACCACCCTTCTGAGTAATACCCCTCCCCACCCTCTCACTATATATATAAGGGTCTGGTAACTTCTGTTTCGGAGTATCTGTAGGAAGTGTGCATGCACACAAAAGCTCATACCAATAACAAACTTAGTTGGTCTCTAAGCTGCTACTGGAAGGAATTTTTTTATTTTGTTTATACTAAATAAGTGTGTGAATTAGCTGTATTTAAGGCATTATGGTGAAAAGCAGTCCATAAATGCGATAAATTAGTAAAATAAGAATGTCTGCACCATGCTTCCTCAAGTTGCTCAGGATGACACACAAGCAGCTTTCCCACTTTCTCTTCCCAACCACCCTGTGATGGAGGTTGCACCAAGGTAGCAATGTGAGATGTTTTAAACATGTTTTGTTGAGAGTTCCAGGGGTTATTTGTGCTTGCGACAGCACTGAGGGTGTGCCCTCCTCCCCCCCAGTTCCAAGCAATGAGTGAAGGTTTGAACTCCACAACTCACCTGGCACACTGATGAACAGTCATTAGATGCTATATATAAATTGCAAGCAATAGTAAAGTAAAGCTGGCATCTCCCAGGGACACGTTAGCAGGCTTGCACATTTGCATATATGCATCCACACATTTTATCTTGACACTGCAAACTTGGGGGGAGGGGAAAGAAATAATCACCAACCTTTCAGAAATACTGATGTTATCAAGTCCTGGAACAGCTGAGTCACAACCTGGTGCTTGACTGATCAACTCTTCTCAGCTATCTGAAGTATTTACAATGCGTCATCAAGATGGTTTTGGTCTTTCCCTCTAAATGCCAGTTACTTAGTGAGTTCTTGTTATTCCTCTCTACTGGCGTGTTTTACTGGTGAGTTCAGGTTTCCTACCTGAGTGTGACATGGATCAATAAAGAGACTTTCTTCAGCAGAAGGTACAAGACTTTTCATATGTGGTGGGCATGTGAATGGGTGCAACCATTTTGGGAAGGGATATTTACAAAACAGAATAAAGCAAAATCACAAACCAGGATGTGCAATGCAATCCATGCCTAGGTTTATGAACAATCTTCAAAGATATTCAGCAAGGAACTCACCATTTTTTCTTCTGGTAGCGGCACGATTACTTATAGCAAAGAACCAGAAAGGACTTGATCACTTGCACATCACACAATGGAAACAGAAGATATGGACAATTGCTTTATCTGAGACACTAACTAACAGAGTAAAAAGGTAACGGTACCCCTGACCGTAAGGTCCTGTCACGGGCGACGCCCTCAATGATGTATCCAATATGGACAATCCTGTTGGATTATGGCACCCTTTTATACAATATTCAAATGAAAACCCTGATGATTGGCAACAGACAACTATGCATTTATGGGGAAATTTGATGCATTAGTCTTCTGTTTGGGGGGGATAGGAAGGGGGGAAATCAATTGTATTGTTGTTGTTTATGTTCATGCTCATATTTTTCTTGAAAAATTAATGAAATTAAAATAAAGGGACTTCTAAATATTCTCTCTTTCATTTAGAGGACAGAAAAAGGAGCAGGGGACAACCATGGAGTTTTCATGGTCCGTGCCGGATAGGATTCTGAATGCATTGAGGCTGCAACCAAATGCAAACCTTGTAGGAAGGAAGTCCTACTGAACTCAACGGGACTTAGTTCTGAGGAAATATGCTTAGGATTGCACTGTGATTGTCTCAAGGGTCTAACTCTAGAAAAATGTGTGTGTTAATGACAGTAATTTTCTTGGAATACGAGGGAAGAGAACCATGTTGAGCTGCATGTCCATTGGAAGTGTCACTTTGGGGCTGTGGGTGTAGGTGAGCTGGTTGAATTCAATCCTAGATACATTATGATTCCTGCCCACCTGTGCCAGGGAAGGAGGTAGGCATGCCTCCAAGGGAGAATGCTAGCAGTAAAGGAGAAAATGGCAGCAATTCACTTAGTTGGGCAAAAAGTACAGGGTGTAAAAGCATGGTAAGGGGAACACAGGAATGTCAGACTATTTGGCCACCTGGCCAAGTATTGCTACTCTGACTGGCAACAGCTCTCCAGCATCTTTGGCAGAGGTCTTTCACATACTTTACCTCCTGCTTTTCTAACTGGAGAGGCCAAGGATTCCACCCGAGACCTTTGGCATGCAAAGCATGTGCTCTCTTGCTGAACTATGACTACTCCCATTGCAGCACCTGAAATTGTCCCTGGATTGCCATCTTCTTCTGGCAGGGGAAGGAAACCTATTTTTTAGATATTTAGTTAGATATTTTTGCCTTCTTTTCAATGCAAAAAAAGGGGAGGCTTGGCAAAGCAGCTTACAATATTGCTTAGCTTACAATGTTAGCGAAAAATATAATTTTGGAACCGTAACAAATAGTATTACCAAATATATTTTATCTGAGTCCAGTTCTATGACTAGGTATTCCCCAGCAGTAGATCCTAAGTATGCCCTAGAATGTTCATAATGGGAGCCTCCGAGAACTGAAGCTGCTCCAACCCAGGTTTTGGGGTACTTTAGAACAGCTGTGAGGGACCCTGCAGCCCTCAGCATGTTGCTGGATGCCAATTCCCATAATGGCCAAGGATCAGGGAATGATGGGAATCGGAGTCCAGCAACATCTGGATTCAATGGCACCAGACTCCCTGTCCATGTATGGCAAAAACACAACCCACTATATTGTATGCAATTGTATGCCTACAAGATTTGTACAGTGGACACTCGGATTGCAAAAGTGATCCGTGCGGGATGCACATTCGCAACCCGCAGCATTTGCAACCTGCAGTGGCACGTCTGTGCATGCGCGGGTTGCGATTCGGCGCTTCTGCGCAAAACGCGATTTAGTGCTTCTGCGCATGCACGACCACCAAAACCCGGAAGTAATCCGTTCCGGTACTTCCAGGTTCCCGTGGTCCGTAACCCAAAAAAATGCAACCTGAAGCGTCTGTAACCCGAGGTATGACTGTATACTGCTTGGCATTTACTGTACTCCCTACTGTACAATTAAGTAAATAGCGCTTAACAAACTGGTCAGGGAGAGTACAGCACAATATGTGCATAGGGCTCCTTTGCCAATGAGAGCGGCAGGAAGACTCTTAGTGACTCCTTCTGTATCAGGGAAGATTATTACATTCTCTTCTTCTACGCCCCTACAATTGTGTTGTTCAGTTTACTTCCCAGTCCAAATCCTAAAACTTGTATTTTAAAAATAATAAAGCTTACTGCTCATAAGCAAAGCACCGGGCTCTATTACAGCATTAGCAACAAAAAAACTGACCTTCCCTTTAGTCTTAAAAAAACCACACAAAACTATTGTTGGAAAGTTTTCCAAGGCTCTCAAAACAGCAGCTCCTGCGGTGAAAACAGCGAGCTGACGTGAATCCCTTTCACAGTTCCGACGGGTCCTCGTCTTAGAGACATTACGGTGCGCGGTGGTGATAAGAGAAACCATGTGGGCTTGTTAACTTAGGCACAGGCAGGAATGATAGGAATTCGCAGCGCTTCCATTTAATGATCAGAGCACAGAAGCCTCAATTAAAGCGATATCGCCCAATATTTCTCCCAGCTTCGGGTTCGATACAAAGCCCACAAACCTTGCCTAACCTACGAGCCTCGGCGTTAACTTTTAACGCGCTTAGGATCCCTCCCGGTTTAGCGTGGGAAAATAAGGAGAACCGGATCATTAAATGAGCAGTGTCTTTTCTTATAAAAATACAGATGCTATTCAGCGCCCCCCCCCGCTCTTAAAACACACACAAAGGGAGCAGACTACAGACGTATCGTGTATTAAACATCTCCAAAAGCACTTTGAAACCGGTAGCATCCCCTCCCCCTCCCCTCCCCACTCTCATAGTTTCGGAAATTATCGACAGAGCCCAGAATTTCCCCCGCCCGCCCCCCCCAACTCCGCCGCAATCATCATATGCATTATCCGGTTGCATTTTGATCCATCTCTTTTATTCAAGTACAATGTAGGCAGTGGCCCTTACGTAAGGGGGACCCTTTGCTATTTTGCTTTTTTAAGTAGGAATGCGCAAAAGAAAGCCCAAGATTATGTAGCTTCGCTCGCCAGACGAGAAAGCTGAGAGAGGAAACTCGTCTTAACCGCAACTCTCCAGCGCAGCAACAGATAACTTCTGCTTTCTTGCTTGCATCCCCCTGATTGGAAGAAGGTTGCATATACTTTTCTCCTTTTTTATTTTTTGGAAAGCGAGGCGGAGTGGGGGGGGGGGGAAGACACAAGAGGAAAAATGTTCATTACATCATGAGAAAGTGCCTGCAAGATTCCTCTTCTACACACACACACACACACACACACACGTTTCAACTTCCTGATGCTGCTGCTATATCCAATCCAAGCAAGATCAGGCAGAATTTCTCACAGCGAGAGCGGGAGAAAAGCACTATTAGACGGCGGCGGGAAGGGGGTGGCTGGGTGGGTTGAGGATTTCACGCATTAAGCACGTCGCTGGGGTCGGTTTGGGAGGCAATGCCTTGCGAGAAGCGCGGCTGGCCAAGATACACGATGCTTGCAAACAATTGCAAAGGCAAGCAAGACGCAGCAAGCCTCTGGCAAACGTGCGCGCCGCGGTGTGGTAGGTAAACCTCAGGAAGAGTATGCGCCCCCGCGCAGCCCGGCCGAGGTACAACAACCCATGCGGCGCTGTGCACCGACAGACACAGATCTAACCACGGGCCCTTCCCAAATATGTGGCCGGTTTTGTTTCGTTTAGAATGCCAAAGACCTTTTCACATATAAGGGGGTGGGTTTTTTAAGGGACTCAGAAGACGCTTGCCAGAATCCACACGGGGGAGGGGGGTGGTTAGAGAGAGCCAGTGTGCGTAATTGCAACATTTTCCGCCGCTCGACTGGTTATTAATGTCATCTGCACAGACGCCAGTCCTTTGCCCCCTTACCTAGGAGCAAGTCGCACTGAGCACGAGGCGGCGGGGGGGGGGTGAAGCTTACTTCCGAGTAAACGAGCCTAGGAGCCCGCAGCACATGTGCCCTTAAGGGCGCCTCTTCCTCATACGCGCCTCCTCGGAGAAGACGACGAGCGGAGAGGAACCAACTCCGAAGCCAATGCAGGCTGGAGGGAGGAGGCGAGATCGCCTGCAGCAGCCCCCTAACAGTCGCACCATGTGGGGCTCTCTTTGACTCAGCGCCCCCACTCCACCTCTGTCCTTCAGGAGTGATACCCCCACTCTTCTACCTAAGTTTTATTCTAAAAGAGACCCACTGATTGCAACCAATATTTTGGATTTGGGGGGGGGGGTTGACAGACCGAAATATCTCGCCGCCACCTCCCGAGTTGCAACTACGAGGTGTGTTTTTTCTAAAAACTTCGGTAAAGCTGTCAGAACAAACCTAAAACTTACGTGCCGTTTATATTCGAGCTCTTGATTATTACTCCCCCCCCATCAAAATCCTGAGTGAAAAATGAAAGAGGGGTGCGCTTTAGCCAACACCATGTGAAAACGGAACGTGAGACCTAAAAGGAGCTGCATTTTTTAATGAGAGCCTTGGAAAGATTTAACAATGGAAAACATTGACCGAGCGGAGAAAGCGCGGAGAGGAGGGGGTGGAGCGGAGGGGGCAACGAACTCCTTTAAAGTTGCCGATCAGGTATCTCGCTCAAGGTGAGATTCCACCTACACATGTGGGAAGTGGTTTGTTTAATTTATGGCATTCTTACAAACAAAAGAAGGCTGGTTCCCGGCGCTGGGGATCGAGGGGAAAGTGCGCACATTTGAAGGGGCAGAAATGCCGGAGCGCATATGCGAAGCTGGTATATCGGATGGTCCCTTTTCCAGTTGAAAGGGCAATCGGCCCTCCTACCGTGGAAGACAGCAAGGTAATCGCTGATTTGAGTAATCCCAAATCCATGCAGGGAATGGGCAAAGGGCGAATGTCCAAATACGAATCTGTGTTTCATATCTCATACATAACCACCTACCATCCCCACGCGCGCGCACCCCAAACTGCGGTTGCCCTACACTTTCCCTTTTGCGTGATCTCTTAAACCAGACACGTGCACTACGAAACCCCCCTTCCTGGTTTCAACGTCTGCAAGGCTGCCAACGCTTTCGCAATTATTATTCGCCATTAAATAAAGAGCATCTCGGCTCTCTCCGTTTTTCCTTTTGATCGTTGACCAAGCGGGGAAGTGCAACTGTGAACGTGAAAAAAAAGCTTCCATCAAAAGTTTCCCGTTGCAACTCTAGCGTTCACGTTTTTCTTCGGCTCTCGCACTTTTGCCTCAACCCCTTTTGTCTTGTCAGAGAGAAATCAAACAAGTTCCTAGTTCAGATCTGCCTGATCCGCCTGGTAACAGATCTATTCCCCCATTGGCTTATGCTAATTCCAGTTTCCTCTTGTATTGGAGCCCAGTTGGGGAAAGGGGGGGGGAGTTCCCTCCAGGAATTAGAGCCAATTTTGTTTTAAGTGGGCGATCTCGCTCCTGCAATATTGCCACACGCAGCAGAAGCCGGTCTTTCTGTGCAGCCGTCTCAGCTGGAGGGTGGTGGTACGAGGGGGGCTCCGGAAAAGCTGTAGCTGATACTGCTCCGTCTCATAAATCAAGGGCTCCTGCCACACCGACGCAGATTTTTATGAATGAAAAAAACAACAACATTGCTCTCGTCGTGGATCCCCCCCGCCACTTCCCCCCCTCCTCTTTAAAGGACTGGGAAGGGGAACCGACTTTACAAAGCAAATATTGTTCGGTAGAAAGGGAGTGCGCGCAGCTGGCCACTGACCCGAGTTATATTTACTAAACGCAAATTAAGAAATAAAAATGTGAGTCGCAGATAAGCGGACGAAGAGCTTTTAAAACGAGGACGGAGACACTCTTGACCATCTAACGTTAGTGTGCTTTAGAAATAAGGAAAGCGAAGAGACCGGGGGGGGCGTATTCCAAAAGACTTGGGAAGGTTATGCAAAAACACATCCTTTAAGTTTGCATATCAAGGCGTGCCTGGAATTTGCGGGGAGTTTACTTAACGTTTCACAATGCCAGGCTGCGCTTCAATTAGAAGGCACCCTGGAGACAGAGAAGCTGCACAGGAAATATATATATATACATACATATCCGTATATACACTCACGTATGTCAAACAGCGATGTACTCGAACTTTGGGCATGCGCAGAAAGCTGGGCTTGCAAATTCTGCGCATTTACGCGGGAGGAAGCTCCAATGACTGGTACAGACCTTACTTCCGAGTAAACAGGACTGGGCTGTCAGACCTCCTCTCTAGGGTTTCTCCATTACAGTATATCGTCGAGTCTTATAGAACCGTGTCCGACGGCTCTATCTTTCTTACTTTGGATGAGCCCCATTGAAGTCATTGGGACTTAATTCTAAGTAAGATTACCTAAAATGCGGTGATAATGCCTTATTCAAAGCAAACAGCAGCACATCCCCATACCACATTTGGATGTTGAAGTGAAAACCAGGGAGCCAGTTTTTAAAGGCGGTTTTGATAAGCGTCATATTCTGCAGTATTGCTCAATAATTGTGGCTGTGTACTGCAATCCTATATGTCTGCTCAGAAGGAACCTCCAGCTAAGTTCAATGAGACAATATCTCCCCAAAAGTGGTTGATAAGGTCCTCCTTTTCCCTCTCCAGTCTGGAAGGGTTTTCAGTTTTCCCTAGATGATGATGATACGTTATATTAAGTTTTGGGTGGCGTGAAATATTTCAAATGGGTTGGAATCCCACGCCTACTTACCACGTGTTTTATGATAAAGGCGCAAAGGATTAGATGCATTTAAATTAACAGTTCAAAGTATCTTTCCCTCGACTACAGCAATGAAACCTAAATTCACTCTGAAAGGGGGGGCCCCGGATAGAAAAGTGCACTTCCCGTCCCTTCTTTGGGTTCCGGCTAAGCACGTTGGAGGAAATAATGGCCACCATTTTGCTTGTGCCATGCTCATGGCATTTCTACGGCAGGCTACCAAAAGATCCGCCACATCTTCCGGACGAAGGGCTTGCCCCGCTCCAAAATACATTAAAATGGAAACCCCATTGGCTGCAAGTTTACTTCCAAGCAAATGCATGCAGATGCAAGGCTGTATTATTATTATTTTTTTTACAGAATGGTCAAGGGAAGTTGGAGACTGCAATTCTATATGCAGCAGCACTTACCTGGGACTAAACTCCATGGACAATAATGAGACTCACGTCTAAGTAGACGTAATTTCGGAAGTCGCGGAGCCTTTGTCGCGCGTAATGAGTTTAGACTCAGGCTGCTTGGACTTCAAAATTAAACGCCACAAATAATTTGGATCGTCTTTTTATTATTGTATCTTCTCTAGTCAGTGGCAATAACTTCGGCCCTCTGTGCAATCCTAAGTACGTACATACTCATACAAAGAAGCCCAATGTGCTTACTCTCTAGAAAGCGTATTTAGAATAGCTGCCCCGGGTTCTTTTCCTAACTTATCCAGAAAATGAGCTTGCCTTCTAAAATAATAACTTAAAAATAAATAATAAATAAAGACGGCTAAGAATGCTGGTTTCCTAGATGGATGGCCCACGACGCATATGATCTCTTCCAAACCACCGTAGTGGCGGTGGGGTCCCTTCCTTGGAGAAGGAGCCCGAAGCCCCTACTGCCTGTCCGTGTCTGTGTGTGGCCTAGTCTCATTCATCATTCGGCTGCCGGAGCCCTCTCCATTTTTAAAAAATTCTGCCTGATCCAGTGGAAAGACAATTTGGGCTTCCCCCACCACCTCTCTCTGTCTCTGTCTCTCCCTCCCTCCCTCCTTCCTTCCCCCGAAAAGGGGAAAAAAAGAAAAAGAAAGAAAGCGAGCCCTTGTCCTCATTTGCATTTGCATTAAAAGCCCTGCTTCTGTCTCCGCTAAGCAAAGGGGGAAGGACTTGCAGCCTATGGGATGGCTTTAGGGCTCTGCCCCCTGCTTTTGGCTTCTCTCCCTCTCCCTTCTCTTTCGCATTCTCCCCGCGCTTTGATCTCTGCTTAACAACAGTCACGTCACGGGGGGACTCATACAGGAGAGTTTTGTTGGAAGTTAGAAAGTTTTGCAGCCTCCAGAGGGCTGTAGCAGCAGCAGCAAGCAGCATCTGAGGGACTCCTGGAAGGGGAAGAGCCAGAGAATCTGACTCAGTCCTTTGGAGCAAAGCTGCGCCTGCAGGAGAAGGAGCAAGGAGGAGGCGGAGGCGGCAGACATGGAACATCAGCTGCTCTGCTGTGAAGTGGAGACCATCAGGAGAGCCTACCAAGACACCAACCTGCTCAATGACAGGGTCTTGCAGACGATGCTGAAAGCAGAGGAGACCTGCTCGCCCTCGGTCTCCTACTTCAAGTGCGTGCAGAAGGAGATCTTACCATATATGAGGAAAATAGTGGCCACTTGGATGTTGGAGGTTGGTAAACGCGCTTTGCAAAAGCTTGCGCTTTCTCGCAATAAAACCATTCCGGAGTCCCAGTGTCTCTCTTCCTCTCTTTTCTGTCTTTCTTTACCCCCTTCCAATTTCCTGCACCCTAAAACATACTGTGAAGCATTGATTTCTACCCCCCGCCACCCCCACCCTCCACGCCTTTCCCCTCTTTCCTATATAGACTTGGGCTAGATAAGCTAGAATGCAGCCTTTACGCTGTCACCAATAACGGGGGGCTTGTCGAGTTAGTATATAGAGTCAATTCGTGCAAAAAAAGAGAGGGGGGAAACGAGTTTTGGAAGTTTCAGAAAGACGCCCCCCTTCCTCGTGCCTCTGCGGGATCCTAAAGGTGGGATCGGCAGATCCCTGGAGCATGCCCCCCTCCGGATTCTTCGGCAGCCCTTCAACCTTGCCATGAATCGGACTAGGATTTTATTTTAAATTAATATCCATGGACACGTATGCAAGTGCTCCCCGTGCCAGTATTATGCGCCATCTTTGTTCTTTTATTGCAAAGGCCAAGTGTTTATTAATAATTAGAAAGGCAGGAGCCCGCGGGAGGGGGAGAGAGGAAAGTGGGGTTCCCGGGGGGACCCCGGGCAGAGGGGATCGGGCTCCTGGCTTGCAGATCTTGGGGAGTTGCTGCTGGAAACTTTTCTTTGTTCAGAGAGCAGAGGAGCCTCTGGGCTTCCCCCTTGGAAGACATGCTTCTGCTGCACGAACTTGTCGGCAAGGTCGCCCGGCAAAAACCGGTGTGGATTTCGCCTTCCGTCGGCGACACGTGTTTGTGGGGGTTCCCATCAGGACCAGGGGCGTCTGGGCTACATTTTCAGCCCTTTTGCGAAGACCTGCGGGCTTGCGGTCTATTTTTAATTAATTTTTGAAAGCCGGGGCGCTGGCAAATGTCGCACGTTGCTTCCTGAGGGAGAGCGAGAAGAGGACTGGGGAGCCCTGGAGTTTGACTTCGGGGTGTCCCCCTGGAGAGTCCCCCGGGTCTCATCCCAAGGGGGATCGGTAAAGGACCCCCGCGGCGGTGTTTTCAGACTCTTTTGGGGGCTCTGCAGATTTTTTAAATATTTTTAAATATTTTTTGAAAAGATGACGTCTGGGGAAAAAGGCTTGCAGCTGCCTCACTGGACGCCACCTTTGTGTCTCGACGAAAGCGGGGGTCGGCAGCTCCCAAGTCAGGGGGAGCCAATAGGGGGCATCTAGGCCGTGGCCCCCAACGGGTTGAAACCCCCTTCCCCAATTTTTTTGGGGGGGGGGCTTGCCGTTCAATAGGGCTCCCCTCAAAAGCTCCAATTTTCTTTTCTTTTTTCTTGCCCGAACGCCGACCACGTTTTTGAAAGCCACATTTTGCTCAACTTGCGACTTTCTCTTTCATTTCTTCTCTTGCACCGTTTCGTCGGTTTATTTGTTTTTATTCGAGGAAATTCACTTAATTTGTTTTGTTTTTTCCCCTTCACCACCTCATAGCCACTGAAAGCAAGTTGGTTGCCAGAAGGCATGGGGAACTCCTTGAGGTTTTTTTATTTTACTTTTTAAAGTGCTGGTTTCAACAGGCTTTCTTTCCCCTGCAGGTTTGTGAGGAGCAGAAATGTGAAGAGGAGGTTTTCCCCTTGGCTATGAACTATTTGGACCGATATCTCTCCTTCGAACCCCTCAAGAAAACCCGCCTGCAACTGCTGGGAGCTACCTGCATGTTTGTGGCTTCGAAAATGAAGGAAACCATTCCTCTAACTGCAGAAAAACTGTGTATTTACACTGATAACTCCATTAGACCCAACGAATTACTGGTAATTTCCTATTTAATTTCATCAGGGAAACAAAGCTATAAACCTCAGCAAGGAAAAGAAATAGATTTATATCCCCATCATAACCCACACCTCACATTTGAGGTTTGAGAACTGTGTCTGGCTTTCCCCGGCGTGCGCTCTTCCCGCATTATCCAGACAAACTTCTAGACTGCCTGAATGGAAATAACAGATATGGCCAATATGGTTCTTGAGATTTCTGAATGACAAAGCCAGGGGTGCATAATATCCCTTCCACATTCCTTGTGGGGCGTGAGCCTTATTGAACTCCTTAGGATTTATTTCCAAGTAAACATGTGTCAAGGAGACAGACTTGCTGAGCTGCAATCCTAAGCACACTTTTCTTTCTTTTTTGTGGCGGGGAGTAAACAGATATTTTTAGCAACGGTGTATAAAGTCAACCTCTGGACGGCTGCAGCCCATATTGTGCAGTAGATTAACTGAATGAAAATTCCCTAATATGTTAAACCCTTATTATTAACTCACAAGGAGGAGAAATATAGTAACAAGATGGGGGGAGGCGGAAAAATGGGTGGCTGGCGCCCTCTTGCGGTAGAAACTCATCCGGCCAGCCGCATGCCTGGTTAATGGAGCGCTAGTTCAGAGCAGCTGGGTGGTGGGGGGGCTGGAGTGGGGGGGGGAGGGAGGGAACAGAATTATGTAATTTTCCTGTGGAAAGGCACCTTTCCCGCCTGCTTCTGTTCTCCTCCGGTGGCATTATGGCTGCTGCCATGTTTGGCAAGAGCCCATTTTTTGTTGGCGGGGCTCACCCTCCTGCACAAAGCAAGGCACCTAAAGTGAAGCAGACTTCAGGATACAGTGTCAGGATAGCTACTCTGCTAACAAACACTGCATTTCCAGGTGCTTATAAAGGGAACTTTGTAATCACATTTTTCTCTCTTTCTCTCCTTTCTTCCTCCACTCCCTCCCCCCTTGTAGCAAATGGAACTGCTTCTGGTGAATAAGCTGAAATGGAATCTGGCTGCCATGACCCCTCATGACTTTATTGAACATTTTCTAAGTAAAATGCCTGTGGCTGAGGACAGCAAGCAGATCATCCGTAAACACGCCCAGACTTTTGTGGCTCTATGTGCTACAGGTATGAGCCTTGCACTCTCCAGAAGGCGTGTTGTGTGTCTGTGTACCCCAGCAAGCACACCCTCCTCCCTTTACCCGCTGCCCAGAATCCCATAGGCGCACCCTTTAAAACTGGGCACTAAATTTTCAGCTTAGCTCATGCACTAAGCAGGTGTCTCCTTTTCCAGAACCCGGATTACTTTTGCCAAAGGTGAGTTTGCCAGAAAGAGGCATTTCCTCTCTATTTCGAGGCTGAAAATCGCTTTGCGGAGTGTGGTTCAGCCTGGGGGAAAGTGGCTAGATTAGTTGTCCGTTGCAGAGCGTCATGCTCTCAGAGGTCTGCCCAAGAGCTTCAGGGCTGGATGGCCTTGGAAACCTGTTTTTTACCTCTCTTGTTGCTGCTGTTCTTGCCATTTTAAAGTCATTGGGGGGTGCAGGGTTTGTGTCCGCTTTCTCTGGAACATTTAGAATTGAACCTCTTCCCGCCCCTTCCCAATCCTTAAGTGCTGCTGGCAGAGGGCAGGAGCAAAGACGTAGAAGTGGGCCCAACGTAGAAGTTCTCTGGCCAAGAGCTGAGTCTCTGCTGTCCACACCCTGCTGACCACGTGCTGTGCTGAAGCCATGTGCGCTTGAAACCGCGGGAGGAGCCAGAGACTATGACAAAGCTCCAGGATTTCATAGAGAGGGGACTGGTTTTTTGTTTCAAGGGCAATCTTTGTGTGTGTGCGTGCGCACGCCAGCGCTTTTAAGCACTCTTCCCCCGCCCTGCCACTTCCCTTGTTGTCGTTTCATTTCTTTGATTCCTTATTCCAATCACCCTATTCCTATTCCTTATTCCTTTCACCCCCTAAACGACAAGCAGGAGGCTGAGACTGGAAATGTGTTGTTGCATTCCTAGTGTTCAGGTAGCACAGCTGGTGCTTTTTTGCAGCAGGCCAAATGGGGAAGGGGGGTGAATATTAAAAAAGGGGGGAGAGAAATTAGTTTTCCTCCAGTGTGGCAAGAATGATTTGGAAATGGCTAAAGGACAACGAAGCAAAGGTCACCAATGCTCACGTTCCCTTTGAACGGAAGCCTGCAGTGTTAACTCTTGAGGATCAAACCGGTGTTTTTTTGCATACATTCTGGGAGTGTTTATATTGGTGAAATGCGATTTGTCATTTTCCCAGGTTGGCACGGGACAATTGAGCTTGAATAGACTTCTCTGAGTTTGGAAACTTGAATTGCATTTAAAATCCAAGTTGATGCTTGAGGTTAAAGCCCAGCAGTTTGTGATGTCACACCTGAGATGTATTTGGTGGAAAGATCCAAGAAAAACAACAAGCAGATTCCCCCCCCACACACACACACCTCCCCTTGTTGGTTTTAAACAGGCTGTCCTACTGCAGGGGTTGGTTTAGAGAGGTAGCCGCAGACTCTCCAAAGAGAAATATGTAAATATTGTAAATATTTTTCAATCTCGCCTTTCATCCTGAGCCTAACTGTAGGACTGTATGCAGCTCAGGGTTTTCTAGAAAATGCATTCCTCACCATGCTCTTTAAAAACATAAGGGCATTTATTTGCTTTTTAAAAATAGTTTTTAGTCTTAAGCACAGTTACCTGGGAGTAAGCACCACTGAATCCACTGAGACTTGCCGCTGAGTAGACATGAGCAGGAGTGCTCTGTAAAAAGAATCAAGTTTTGGGATATAAAATAGATTTGTTTAGAGCAAGCTAGCAAGTCCCAATGGTGAGACAAGCCTTGTAACCACAGAGTGGGTTTTCGAGCCTGTTTGTTTGTTTGCTTCTTACCCCCAAACAGCGTCCTCTTTTGGATATGGGGATGTTTAACCTGGGTTATTGCGCTGGCAGCAGCAGTTCCACAGTGATGAAAACAAGAATAGTTCAAAGGTCGGAGGCTTGCAAAGAGCCAAGTTCTTTGATCTGCTGTCAGTGTTGTTACGTTTCTGGTTTAGAAGGCACGTCTAGAGGCCTATCTTAAACATTGTTCTAAACGCCATATGTAGAACCGGAAAATGAATTGGTGAATGCAAACCTTGTCCAGAAAAATGTTCTATGCAGGCTTTTAAAAGAAGTGTGTGGAGGTCAACAAGGGAACCCCCAATCCTAATGAAGTCAGTGGGAATTTTGCCTAAGTAAACAGTGTTTAATAGGGTTTTATGTGGTGAATTTATCCTTAACAGCCACATTTTAGAAAGAAAGAAAGAAAGAAAATTAATTGAGGGCTGCTGAGACAGAGATCTGGAAATGGCCTTTCTACAGATAGGATTGGTTTTTACTGTTTCCTCATTCTGCTATTCTAATTTGCCAAGCTCCCATCTGGATGAGTTACAAACCCTGTTTTATTAACTACTGCTGAGGCTTCATCCAAAACCCCATTGAATTAAAGGTCCGTTTGGCCATTAGAGCACAACTTCCACTTCATGCGGAATAAAGGGGGAAGGTTCCTAGAGGACTTTGCAATAGAACTACTTACTTTTAAACAGTGGGCGAAAAAGTTTAAATGAGGTGAAGGCAGGGTAAAACAAATGTTTGAGGATTTCTAGAAGTGTGGTTTTGTTCTAGATATAAAGAAGATTACAAGCAAAGGTGATGCTAAAAGGAATTCCCTTTTATGTCCTCCTCAAGCTCTCTGTCTTAACCAGACTGGATTTGCCTTGTAATTTTTTCTCTCTCTCTCTCTTTCACATGTGTGTGTGTGTTGTTTTGTTTTGTTTTGAATATGTTTTCTCCAAAGACTCCTTTTGTGTGGTGGGAGGCTTGGGACGGAAGAAGAAGAAGGGGGAAAAATTACCACGAGTTGTTTAGCCTAATGAATAGGGCCCTGGCATGGCCAAGGAAGGCACAGATCACACAAATGAAGTGAGCTTCATTGATCCAAGCTGAGACCACTGCTTAGGGGAAAGGCCCTGCTCTAAACAAGCAGAACGATTAATTGGGACAAATATTGGGAGATTCGGGGTTTCATTCTGTTCCTCCGGCTGTCTAAACATAATTGGGTCTGCCACTGCTGCTCCGCCCCCCCCCCCACACACACTTTTCTTCCGCGGAGGATTATTATCATTATTTAATGTGATTTTGCTGGAGAAAAGCCCTCCCTTTGAAATGCGTTTGCCACAATTCGCCTATTCTGCGAGCCTTTCTAAAATTGGAAGTCTCAAGGTATGCGACCAGTTGAAACCTGTTGCATCTCGCAGCCAGTGATTTATGTTCGGAGTTTTGATTTGCCTCAATGAAAAGATTTTCATTCATAGCCCCCAGCTCTCCAGACGGATGGAATTGCTGCTCCATTTAAAAAGGAAAAGGGGGTGACTTGCCTTGTTAGGAATTTTTTTTTTTTTAAAGCGCTACAGCGCCTAGATGCCTGCTTTGTCCTCCCTTCAGGGTGGCTGGCATTCTTCTCTCTCCTCTTTCCTCCCCCCCCTCCTCTCCTTTTAACAACACTGAAGTTGTTTATTCTTTTTGGATGAAGTCTCAGATAGGCTACTGGGGATGTGTGCTTCAATTGAGGGGCCCCCTTCCCCATTGTAGCTGTGTCAGGTCTAATTCATCTCACCGAAGCCCCCTTGTTCCTGAGCGCTCAATAGCGCAAGATGAGGCAATGGAGGCTGACAATGATGCCACACTCTTCCCTTGGGAGCATCCAATTACAGCCGAGAGGGGCCCCCTGATTAATATGCTGAAATTAGTGGTCTCTGCCACAAATAATTCCTTGTTGTGTCGCAACAAAAAGTCTGTCCATGCCGCTTGTCTAGAGTGGTTATAGGGACAGGCACAAACCGGTCATTTAAACTTCATTATTGCTTTTCCACCTTGGGAAGAAAGAGGGTGTGACTAGGAATTCCTCTTCCTTTTTCTCTCGCCACTTTAAAAGGAAGTACTTTGTGCATTCCCAAACTTGCTACTCTTTGAATGATCTCATGATCACTTTGCCCATTTTGGAGTTGGGGTTTTGGTTTGGTTTGGTTTTAAAGGTGGGGCCTTCATTCCAAATTGGAAAAAAGCAAAGTTTCCAAGATTAGAAAAAGAATCGAATCTGGGTGATGTAGAAGTCAGAATGCCAGATAAGGGTGGTCATTTCTGTGCTTCTTCAAAACCCTTTAGAAGCTGTACAGCAGTTAATTGGTTTGATGTGTATTCATCCAGAGGGGCTGATGTTGAAAATTTATTGATGCCTAGGCACAGGCCTTTGTAAAATGAAAAGTAGGAAGGTAATCTCAGGCAACATGGCATAGTGTTTAAATAGCAATACATATAGTCCATGTCTTAGGGGATCATTTAAGAGTTGAGGCTTTGAGCATTTAAATGTGTGTTGCTCTGCACCGCAGAGTGCAGATGCTCCTGAATTGTGATTTCCCTCAACAACAAACCTGAGATTGAGTCTCATGATCTACCAACTGAGCTATCTCTCATCTCCCAATATTTTAAAAGGGCATATTGCCCTACTGTCAACATTTTAAATTGGAACAAGGTGCCAATATTGGGTAGGGATACTCACAGTAGCCCTATTGAACTTAAAGGACATGACAAACTAAGGTATTTTCAATGGATCTACTCTTAGTAAGACTTAATTGAATGCAAGCCATTACATTTAAGAAGGAATGCGAAAGAAATGATTTTTGCATAGTCCTGGAGGTGATTTTGCTGATAAAATATTCTCACGCTGGTTTTCCTGAAGAGCAGCTGCAAATCACAATTTAAAATATTTACGATTTTAAGAAAGTGTTCAGCACAGTAGACTGTTGGAAGGGAAATTGCAATTCTTCAGATGGTTTGGGGTTTGTAGGTGAGCAGATGAATTGCCTCCAAGCTGCTGGGAGCAGTTTCCTAAGTTGATGTACATAGGTTGGCATTTTCTGCTTTCATCCTGACAATCAGATATTGAAACATGTTCCCCCTCTCTTAATTCCTGGTCATGGTCAAATGAAGGCATGAATCAAACATGCCTGCCTAGAATGAGCCTTAGCCTCAAAATGTAAATGATTGCTTTTTTGTTGGCTGTAACGTTCTCTATGGCAGCTATAGGCCAAGCAATCATGGGAGTGGCTTTGCCGCAAGACCTACAGCAATGCACTTTGGAAGTGGGCCCAGGCTCTTGTCAGCGTGGTGTCATATCAGAATGTAGCTTATTGTCTGCCAGTTCTTGGGACCCCCTTACACTAAGTCCTCATTGCCCGGATGGAAGGCAGTCGCAGATAAGGGAAAGGTTGAAGCAAAACATTTACCGGAGGAAGTGCCCATTTACATCCGATTTCTCTATTTCACTGTAGTGGTGAAAACAAAAAAAATTCCTTCCAGTAGCACCTTAAAGACCAACTAAGTTAGTTCTTGGTATGAGCTTTCGTGTGCATGAAGTTCTTGTATATGTGGTGTTCAAGTTTCCACCTTTATTTATTAGAAAGAGTAAAATTTTTGGTCAGCGTATGTGGTCAGAAGTATGTTTAATGGAGGATTGGAACCTTGAACTGCAGTCCCACTCACTTCAGAGTTAATCTCATTGGACTCAGCAGTGCTTTTAAAAAGTACTATACATTTGGGCTGTTGGATGCTGTTCTGCATAGATTGATTATATGAAACCACTTGAACAGAAAATTAGAAAACCTCTAAATGTGCTCTCCCTGAACGGTGTTGAAACCAGGATTCTATACTAGCTTTAAAAATTATTGGGGGGGGGAGGATTTTATACTGGCTTTGCTTGCAAACTCATGGTCTGATGATGAATGCGTTCTTTTAGCTGCCGGAGACTGAACCATCCTGAAAAACAATAGAATGCAAGATGGTGGTCCAGTTTCAAAGGAATTGCTACAGCCTTTGGTGCAATAAAGTACCACAAAGCCCTAAATCTATGCATGGGATTTGAAGAGGAGCTCTGATGGATTAGGCCAAAGGCCAATTTAGTCCATCAGCATGTTCTCACAGTGGCTGACCATATGTCTATGGGAGGCTTGCAAGCAGAACATGGATGCTAATACCAACACATCTCGTTGAAGGAAACAACTGCATGGGTGAATTTATATGCAGGTTGGTTTTCATGGGACTGTTCACAGAGCTGGGCCAAAAAATGTTCCAAGAGATGCTGTAAGAAAAGCAGTAAGCCTAGATGCATATGGACACGCTCTGTTAAGCCACCTTAGTGCCTGCCCATTGGAAACCTTTGTGCACTGGGTCAGCCGCCTTTATTTGCACCCATGAGCGTAGGGTGGTATGTATATGCAAGCTCACTTCTGTTTCTTTGTTTCCCCCCAACAGATGTTAAGTTTATTTCAAATCCACCTTCCATGATTGCAGCTGGTAGTGTGGTAGCTGCTGTGCAAGGCCTTCACCTTGGAAACACCAACGCTTTCCTCTCTTACCAATGCCTCACACATTTCCTCTCGAAAGTCATCAAATGTGACCCGGTAAGTGATGCTTGATCCGTAGTCCTGGTGCCTCCTGGGTGGGGGCATCTAGTCTGTTTGTGGGCCTCAAATCAAAGCAAGGCTCAAAAGTTGCTTCACATCTGTCACCTTCTTCATCTTCATCTTCACATTAGTACCCAAAAGTCTCCTTTATGTATTGTGTGGGCTGAATGCTACCACTAGTTCCAAGCCTTTCAATGAAGAAATACCAAGAAAGGAAAAGAGAAACTCTTAATTTAAGAGGACAAGTTCAGAGGCTGTATTGCTCTATAGATAATTAAATCGTGTGGACAAGTGCTCTTAAAAATAAGTCAAGGAACTAGTGGTTGCAGTGAACAGAGCTTTCTCTCTCTCTTTTTTAACCACTCCTGAGATTCTTTATATTGCTAAATTATGTGTGGGGGAAATGTTAACAGAATTTTAATGGTTTACAACAAGGTAGACCTGCACAGTAGATCATACTGAATTCCAAGCCCTCCCCATCCCAGCTGTTTTTGTTTTGTTTTTTAAGTGCCCCATTATTTCATGAAAAGGTAGATGGTCCTCATAGGACTCTTCTTTTTGCCCCGCAGCTTCCTGGAGATGCTCATCAGTAACTAGTGAGCAATAAACCTTTCATGAATGAATGGGCAGGAAGGGAGCCTACAAGGAAGACCTAAAGTCAATGATCCATGCCCTAATGGTGTGTGAAGTTGGGGCAGAGTTTAGCTTTGTGCTGGAACAATGTGAAAGCCCAATAAAAAGATGCTTGGAGAAAGGTTCTTGTGGGGTCTCCAAGCACCAACAATGAGTCAAATAAAGTCAGCCCTGAGGCTTGCAACCAAATCTTGGAGGCACGGCTAAAACATTCCTTGTTTCATACGTCCATAAATATATAGAAAATATAAGAGTGCAGAAACAAGAGCTGTCGCAATTACAATGAGGTTCCTTAACATCCTGAGACTTCATAATGAATGGAATATTGTGCTACTTTGATTGCAAATGCTTGCTTCACTTCTGCATTATACATGGGTTCATGGTGTTATTTTTTATTTGTCTTTCATGCTGCCAAAGTTTTGGCTATAGGCAAAGGATTGGATGTGCTCAGTCAGTGCAAGCAACATAGATGCCTGCGCTGATCCATCACCTGCCTGCATAGCAAAAGAGAGAGAATAGTGAAGACACTTTGAGAAAAGCAGCCTGCAGAAGCAATATTGGCACTAGGTTCTTTTAAATCACATCCTGCCTACTTTTGATTTGATGCCAGATTAGGAGCTGAAGGAAGCACCACAGAGCTGTGTCTTGTTTTGTAGAAAGAACGCTTCATTGAAGGCAGCGCTAACTTACATTTAGTGTCAGGGTTGCAGGATGCAGTTTACCTGAGCCTGATCTACTCTCCTCATTTTTCGTGAAGCCTTTGCAGAGCTCACAAATGATCCCCCTGTTGTCTTGAATGAAGGATGTGTTTTGTGGTAGTGCTAGGTGGATTGAGTCACCTGGTCATGCTCAAAACTGGTTGATTTCAGTGGCACAACTTCAGCTTGAAGACTACCTGAAGCGCTTCAGTGGCACCAGGTCTAAATTAACTCCTTAAGCCTTGGCTTCATTTCACATGTTGAAACAAAGTGGTGTCAGCCTTACACAGATGTTGAACTCACAAATAAGTAGAACATGTGAATGAGGAGAGCAGGGATGTGCACACTTACTCTACCCTTTCCCAGTTGCTCTCTACAAGTTTTGAGGGTGGCTGTCAAGACATGGAGGCTCCCTCAGCATTGTACAACGTCGATTTTCCAGGCTATATATTGCTTAGGGAGTGTGCCTAGGAAGAGCAGGGTCTCTACTGCAGCCTGTTGACCTCACTCTTGAAGCCCAATGGGGGTTAGAGTTAGTGCCCTTGCCTCTCCTGTCTCTCAACTTGTGTGGTAAACTTAAGTTGGCTTTAATACCTGAATTGCAGTCTTGTCTACCTATGAACCAAGTAGGTTCTCCACTGTACTTTGCCTCTGTCCAGTGCAATACATTTGACTTGGGGGTTCCGCAGCAGTTAAATGACCTGCTATCCTGCACTGATCGTGATTTTAAAGGAAATTATATTTAAGCATATTTTCATGCATAAGATGGAACTGGAGTCTATTGCGTTGTGGTCTTCTGAATCATGTGAAACAAGACATTCTTATGTGGTTTGGTCAATATTTGAGCTTTTCTCAGAAAGAGGGATTTTTATAATTGAAAACAATGGTTTGGATCCAAAGGTCCTCTTCTGAAGGAGCGTTTTATACATCACACTGGAGTGTTACACAGGAAATAGGGGAGCGGGTGGCGCTGTGGTCTAAACCACTGAGCCTCTTGGGCTTGCCAATTGGAAGGTTGGTGGTTCAAATCCGGACGACAGGGTGAACTCCCATTGCTCTATCCCAGCTCCTGCCAACCTAGCAGTTTGAAAGCACACCAGTGCAAGTAGATAAATAGGTACCACTGCGGTGGGAAGGTAAAAGGTGTTTCTGTGCACTCTCTGGCTTCCGTCACGGTGTTCTGTTGTGCCAGAAGCGGTTTAGTCATGCTGGGCACATGACCCGGAAAGCTGTCTGTGGACAAAACGCCAGCCCAGGTCCCTCGGCCTGAAGCGAGATGGGCACTGTACCCCATAGTCACCTTTGACTGGATTTAACCATCCAGGGGTCCTTTACCTTTTCACCTTACACAGGAAATATAAAACCTAAGATGCTTGGTTACTTGCTGAAAATCTTGCACAAACGGAAGCACGAGAAAATCTATGGAGCCTAGTACCTACAACACGGTGAAATTTCTTTCTGTTAGCACTTGTCCAAGCCCTTGGGCATAGCATTCACAGCTGCTTTCCAAAGATTTTCTCTTCTTTGGATTCAACCCACCAGTGTCTTTCAAAAGAGCTATGATCCAGAGAACTCTGTTCAGTATGCACTGGGACTAAATTTTCCTGACCACAGAAAGGAGGTGAACCTCAAAAGGTGCTAGAGAAAATGGTTTGTGGTTTGTTTATTTACAGAAGCACTCAATTTCTTGCCTCATGCATTTTGAGTTACTATGTTCATCATTAGACACAGCTACAGACAAGAGTGTGATTCAAGCAATTGTATTATAAAATTTGGCACATGAACGTTATGTAGAAACACATTCTTAAAAATCTCTGAGGTTCCATGGATGTAAAAAGAAATGGCTTGATGTGTCTGTACATAATTCCAGTTTGCTAAATTTTATGTTGTCATACTTTTGAATTGTTTTTAGGTGTCTCCAAGGAGTATGGTGTACTAAAAATGCATTGGACAAAAGAAAAATGGGGTTATTCTGTAAATAAAACATTTTTATTAGCTATTGAAGCTTACCGCCCTTTGGCAGTAGGGGCTGAATGTCAGTGATGCCTCCCCTTTTCAAGCGCAGTTTTTATCTAATAGCAGCTTCTGAACTGTAGGAACGTGGCAACCTGCCTTTAACCAAGTCAGACCACTGCTGCATTGTCTGCACAGGGGACCAGCTAACTTGTGGCCTTCCACAGCTGCCACCATTCCTGGCTGAGGCTGATGGTCCATAATCATCAGATGGATGGGAGTTGCAGTCCAAAAATCAGGAGGGCACAAAAATCCCAAGTTTTTCTGGGTTGCTTAAAGTGCTTAGAACTTGCACTTTATCTTCTACAAGTGCATGGGTTTTCATAATGTGTCACACAGTCGTCAACTTTAAAGTTTAAAAACCACAGAGATCAACATTTCATTTCATTTGAACATCGTAAAATATACTTAAAATTCCTGGCTGGAATAGATGAGCTAGAGGATTAAAAAAATAATAATTTACGGTTAATTTTTTACTTTTAACCACGAGAAAGTAAAAGCTAAAATTAATAGCACCTGACTGAAATTCCTTTACGGTTCATTTTGGTAGGAGTCCAATTTCCCATTTTGCTTTTGATCAGTGGTAATTAGAAGTCAGATAGCCACCATTAGACTCTTGGGCTGTCTTCCATCGGCTCTGTTCCTGACATTCATTTCAAGGCCAGAAAATTGCTACATTCAATTTGTTTTCGATGCTATCTGTTAAATACATTGGAATTTGTTTGGCTTCACACTGGGAGCATCTTGTCTGTAACCACAGTGGACCAGGCAATAAATATTGCAGGATTCTTAAGTTGTCTCTGTTACTTTCTTTGATCTCCAAATCCCAAATTGACTGACATACAGCCTGATCGCAGCTTAGTTATAGTAAAAAGATATGTCTTTATGTTAGTAGAGCACACTCATTTGCTCACAACTCTCAGGCCTGGTCTGAACAAGCTCTAAGTAAGCTTTCCCTAATCTGATGCCCTAAAGGTTGTTGGACTACAATTCTCATAATCCACAGGTTCCCTGTTTTAATGTCATTATTGATTGATGGTGCCAATAATTCAATACTAGGCAGTTGTAGCCCAATGCAATCAAATATATATTAGTTTCTAAGGAACAGGATTCCAAAAACATAATCACAGAGTCAGCACTGTATTTCTTCCCTGGATGCCTAGTGCAAAGTGAGAGCTTTTGGCAAAGTTGTTGAGCCTGCCATACATTCCAGTGATTTCCACCCGGACAGTTTCTGACTGCCGTATTCCGGCTATGCCCGGGAAATTATGGACGTATGGCAGCCCTACACTTCACATGAGGCCTTGGAGTAGATGGGATGCTGGATGAGTTTTGCTTGCTGTTTTTGAGATTCCACAGTGTCTGGCACATGGTAACTCCCTTGACATTCATGTCAAGCATTGAGAAGGGAAAGCCAGAAACAGCAAGGTTCTAGTTGGTTCCAAAGCTCAAAATTGAGTTTCAGACACCAATACCAACTCTTTGAGTTCCCTGCATCTGCTGAAAGATTTGCCAGTAATCACTGGGGAGAAAAAGCAGCGTGGAGCTAAAAATTGGCATGTCCCCTCCAGTGACAACGAATCTTTTGGTCACAATCCCTAAAACCGTATGTGCTATGCACCCAGTTTTGTTTGTTTTTACAAATCTTGTGAGTGTCGAGTCACCCTCTAGCAAGCTTGATGAGCTTCAGCATTCCTCCAGCCCAAATCCTGGGAGAGGTATCAGCTCCACAATTGGGGTATCAGCTCCACAATTGAGGTATCAGCTCCACAATTGGACTTCACTTTGGAAACTCAGCATGACAAGAGCAGGCCCCAGCTGGCCTTTGGAGCTGGAGAAGAGAGTAGGGATCCCAGTATGGAATTTGCTACCACAAGAAGCAGGGGTGGCCATCAACTCAGATGGCTTTAGAAGACATTTATGGGGGAGAAAGCTTTCAGCAGCAACTATCCCTGATGGCTGTGTTCTACCACCACTGACTGAGGCAGTATGCTTTTAGGACGGGGGAATGTTGCTGTGCTCAGGTATCTGCTTGTTTCCCACAGGCTTCTAGTTGGCCACAAGATGCTAGGCAAGGTGGGCCACTGGCCTAATCCAGGAGATCCTTCCAACATTGCACTTTGCTTCAAAGGCATCTTCTGGTGGGCATGTGTTTGTGTGTGGCGATTTCCAAATCCAAGAGCAGAACTGGGGGATACATCACACTGTGTTTTCAAGTATCTTCACAGCATGAGTCCCCGTCAGGGAAAAGAGCAAAGGATAAATAAATAATAGTAGTAGTGGTGATGACTGCCGAGACCATTGTGTTCCTTACCTCCAAGCTTAGAAGAAGAGTTTGGGGCTTGTCTCTGTCAACACCGTAGTTGTAAGATGTGACTGCCATATTGGAAGTGTGTGACAGAAATGAACTGCATGCTTACTGTGCATAGAGATGGGAGGGGGCTGAGGATTGTCCCTGATGTCGTGCTGAGTTCTGGAAACTACAGCATGAATTTAGGGGTAAGACCTGTGCCCCCTTGGAGCAGCTGGAATTTGTGGACGCCAGAGGTCTTGCTTTGTTTAGAACTCTGACCACGTCTATAGGTTTGATAATGCTTTCTCAGTTGTTAATTTGTGTGTGTGTGTGTGTGTGAGAGAGAGAGAGAGAGAGAGAGAGAGAGAGAGAATATGAGTTCCTCTTAAGTGTTATAGGTAAGCCTTCCCCAACCTTGCGCCCTGCAGGTGTTTTGGACCACAGCTTCCACCAATTCCATCCAGCACAGCCCTACAGACTGGGGCTGATGCGAGTTGGTGTTCAAAACACCTGGATCTCATCAGGTTGGGAGCGACTCCTGATAGGTGGAATTGGTCTGGCCACTGAGCTTAACAGAGTCCCAACAGGGGACCTTCAAGTGATGAGTGTATCACAGGTGGGTGGCCAGCATTTGAATATGAGAAAAAATATAATATGCTTTCATTCAGTATGGAGTTGTTGACTATACTGTTCAGTTATGGTTGAATCAAACTCACAACCTTACCCAAACTTTCTGAAAGTGATAGAATTTGTTTTTAAAACCCTTGTGAAAATGCCTATATATTTCTTTTTATATTTCTTATTTGGGTTAAATAAGAATGTGTGAGATCAGAGTAGGTATGGAAACACCATATTCGTATCTATTAAGAAAAGCCAGCGCTGTGTAGGGTGCCTGTGGCATAATTGCTTTAGGATATAGGGTGTTTCTTTTTGCAATTTAAAATACTGTCTCTCTGTGAAGAGGAAATATTACACTAGAGTTTAAACCAGTAAAGGTCAAAGGTTATTTGTTTTCAGTGAGCTGTAACTGATGGTCTGATCTGCTTAGAGGTAGGATTAACCTCCCTCTCTCTCAGAAGAGGCTTGCAGAGAATTGTTTGCTTGGGTTTTTAATCTTATTTTACCCCCCAAATGCCATGTGGTAGAGAAGGTTCTTGTGGCAGCGGAATCAGTGAAAAGCTGGTAGGTCACACAAGAAGCTTCTGAATGAAGGCAGAATTGAAACAGGAAAATAAAGAAAACAGCAGGCAGGTCACCATCTCAGGAAAACAACATTCATTCTCAGTCATGCACATCCTAACACTTTTGACGGCAATTTATCATGGAAGACTGGGTTCACGGCAAGGGCTAGCACATGTCATAGGTTAAATCAGAAAAGGCAATCCCAAAAGGAAACTTCAAAGTTCTTAATACACAGAGTTAAACATATTGAAAAAAGCTTCTGCGATGTTTGTTAGAAAGACAGGAGTAAACAGTGAGCCAAAGGAATTTCGGCAGACTGCTGTGGGATTGTTTGTTTTGCCTATTTAAAGCACTTGGCACAGAAGAAGGTATCCCACCAACACACAGGGATGCATGTGCTGGTGATCAACCAGGTCTCATTCCAGTCTTAATTCCTAGTTGGCATGGCTGATCCTTTTGGGACCAATTCCAGAAAAGTAGCCATGTTAGTTTGTTGCAGAAACAACAAGGAAGAGACCTTTGGCACCCAAAGTTCATGCCGCAATCAATTTGTTACTCTTCTTAAGATGTCAAAACTCTCCTTTTTGCTGTTCTTACGCTGTTTAAACGTTTCCAAATCTCCTAAAATATCCTATCGCAATGCATTTTCCTTGTAGACAGTGTGGATGAGTACTTAGCGGTCACCATATAAAATACAATAAAGGGGCTCTGGGTAGTATTTTGAAAAACAGAAAAGTTTGCCATATTGTCAGAGTATGTTAAGTTCGTTGAGCTGTTTTTACAATGCCGGCATTTAACAAAATAGCTTGGTTCATCAGCTATGATGTACTCTTTAAAGCCCTTCCTGTAGTTAGACATCAATGGATGCTTACCATTTAACTACTGGCAAAAAACCCCCCCCCACACAACCCTATATGTTAATAGCTTTCTATACATTCTGACCTCTGTTGCATACATGAAATGGCCTAGTTCATGTTGTTCATATGAAATCCATAGTCTTCAGCCATTTCAGACCAGAAACCTACCTATAACCCAAACATGGATTTCTTAATTTTTTACTATCTGTTTGCTTCTGCTACTTTAGATCAGGCCATACTCTGGTACTCTGTCCCCACCCATCAGTTGAAAACCAATGGTATATATTATAATAGCCATTGAATGGGAAACTAAAGATGGCTCTGGGCTTCATGCGGAATTATTTAATATGCTTAGTGTCATGTTAAGTTTTCACTTCAGAATACATTTGCCTGAAAAAGCCTATATCTGCAATGAGCATTTAAGGCTCACACAGCAAATATGGACAGTGATTCAAAGTTCAGGCTCTCTCTTAGATTTGTTTATTGACTGGGTTGTGCACTGCAGGAGGAGGGGGGAGAGTGGTCCTTCAAACATTGCTGGACTATAATTCCCATCATCTCTAGCCTTGAGCAATGCTGGTGAGGCGGTTGGGAACTGGAGTCCCAACAGTTCCCTGTGGCCTGGAGGGCTACGAATTTCCCACCCCTACTCCACAGGAAGGCTTCTTTACTCATTCAGTTGTAAGTGCAAAGGAGCTACTTCCTTTGAACTGACTGGAGAAGCCCAGATCGGAGCGCCCTCGAAAGAAAGACAAAGCCTCAAAACCCAGCTGGTGAATCTTCCAGTGATTACTTCATAGCTGTTGATGATACTTGCATCTTCAGCCTTGGGTGACTTGGAAGTTATATGCGCAGAAGCAGAAGTTGCATTCCACAAGTGGCAACCAGCCTTTTGCAAGGAATTGGAGACATCTGGGTGCCAAGTTTGGCACCTAACATCTCTTAACTGGCTGGCACGGCTGCAATGCCGCATCAGTCAGCTGTTATGTGGGGCAGCACAGAGCTAAAAAATGCATGGCTTTTGGTGCTGCAGGGCCCTGCGAATCACCTGGCTTGCGCCGCACCAAAAGCAGCACACGCATCGGGCACTCCCAAAACAGTTCCTACCTGTATTCATTATTTTGATATTTTGTGTGAATTGGGTCGTTGGCTGCTTTGGGCTTCCCTTGGGGAAGAAAAGCAGGTTACAAGGAATAAAGGATATAATAGCAAAGTGAACATCAGAGGCCAGGGTCACCAGGCATTCTCCTGTTTCTTCTTCCCACCTCCAAATTCATATCTGCATCACATGCATTGGGCTTTTGAGTTGGAGAACACAGTGGTGGCCACTTCTGAATTATTATGGCTTATTTATGACTTACTCTTTTCCATTTGCTTTCTAGGGATAAGTTGTTTGGCTGTGCACACTTCTCTCTGTTTTGCTAAAGTGTTTTCCCCTTCTCTTTCGCAGGATTGTTTACGAGCCTGCCAAGAACAGATTGAATCCCTCCTTGAATCTAGTCTACGCCAGGCGCAGCAACACAACATATCTTCAGAAACAAAGACTGTTGAAGATGAAGCTGATCTTTCCTGCACACCCACTGATGTTAGAGATGTGAATATTTAAGGAGGACTTCTGCAGTTGGGTTTGCTTGGCAGTACCAGCAAACATCGAAAGGGCATCTGAGAAGGAAGTGGAATCAGGATCTTCTCCCCCCCGCCCCTCCCTCCCCCCACCCAGGAAAACCTTTTCTCCAGGACTTTTTATACCAGAAGGGAAAATGTCATTCATTCTTTTCTTCGCTATTCCTTCCTACCCTTTGTGACTCTTAACAGACAACCCCCCCTTCACTCTCAACCGTCTTAAAAAGAAAAAAAAAATAGTATTTGCATGATCTCCAGGGGTTTGTGCTACAAAAATAGAAGATTTTATACAATAATAATCAATTAGTTTTTATATATTAAAGTGTTTTTGTCTTTATGTTGTAAAAATAGGCATTAACACACACACACACACACACACACACACACAGTCTCTCCACGGGAGGTATTAGATTTGATTCTTGCATATTAAAAAGCCAACCATTTTTAAAGTAGAAGAGGGTGTGTTTTTTTAGATAGGTTATATGTGTTTTGGGTGTGTGTTTTTTTCCTTTAAAAAGCATAGCTTTAATGCAGTTCTAGGCTTTTCTGTATCTTGCTTGCTTATGCATTTAGTCACTTTATAATTCATCTGTAAATGTTTATTTTATCCCCTTAGGTTTTTATCCTCTTCACCTTATAAATGGTTTTAATGTAACCTTTACGTTAGTATATGTTAGCAATCAGCATTATTATATGTTAATCTTCTGTGCCTGTGGATTACCTGTGTGTAAGGCTTCTAGGGGTTCCAGCTTAGCATGGCCAGGAAAAGATCCGACATTCTGTTCCAACATTAAAGAGAAGTTCCAATAGCTATATAATATATTTTTGTAACCTTCCTATTTTTGTAGTGTACAAAAACGTGCTGGTTTCCACCCAAACGATACACAGCCTAATTATATCCAGGTTGAATCCACAGTTTTATCTTCTTTTTTATTATTATTATTGTTTTAAAACCATTCCATTTCAAAGCACTTTCAGTTCATTAGGTATAGGAAATACTTTCTTTTTTTGTGTGTGGGAATTTTTTTTTTCTTCAAATGGAATGGTTTGGAAATTATATATATAAATATATAAATATATATATAAAGTGCTTGTGTGCAAACTCAGAATTGCAAAGCAAGTGCATTTAACTATGGTGTGAGGAAAGGTGGGGTTGTTGTTTTTTTCTGAAGGGTTGTGTTCCAGTCAGAGAAATTGCATTCACAAAATTGCCAGGATATCTTCCTAACCTTTTCAATAGAAGAGAGATGTTTAGAAATCTTTTGGTGCCAATTCATTTTTTAAAAAAATATAAATTTAGGGGCCTGAAAGGTTTACCTATAGGACACATATTTTGAGAATTGTCTCTAGATGTTGTACAACTGAAGGCTATTAAACACTAAAATATATAATTTATAGTTAAGGCTAAAAAGAATATTTATTGCAGAGGATGTTCAGAAGGCCAGTATAATTTGTAAAATAAATCACCCCCTTGATTCTGAGAAAACAAAAAGATCTTTCTGCCCTTGATGTTGCAGTTTTAACTCATCTTACTAAGAAATGAGGACATGTCAAGATAGTAACACATTCGGCCCAGTTGTTTCCAAAATAACCACGAGAAAGCGCCATAGTTAAAAGTGTAGAATTGGTGTACTTGAAAAGAAAAGAAAAGTTCTTAATCCAGTGTATTTCCCCTCCTTTTTTTAATTTAGCTACAAATAGAAAATTTGCACATCTTGGCTATGTATCTTTTTTATTATTATTGTAGAAAGTAGCTGAAGGGACGTGGACATAGCTGTTGAAGTTGATGCTTGAGGAGAATGTGATGGCAAAATGTATGTGAGAAACTGCCGCTAAGGTGTTGATTGTAAAAAACAAAAAAAAAGTTTTAAAAAGGAAAAAAAAAAGGAGCGGACGCTCCCATTTTTTTTATTGAGCTGCTATGGATAAATTCCCAGCATGAATTGAAAAGAAAAATTAACATTGCTTTTCTGTATCTTTGTCATTGTGTTTTGCTGCTATTTTGTGGTCTTTTTTTTTTGTTTTGTTTTTTTTGTTATACAATGTCATATACTGCCATGTTATAGGTTTTAAATTTTCTCATAGAAAATTATATTATTGACATTTTTTGGTAGATTTTTTTTTTTTATGTGATCAATTTTTACTTAATGTGATTTACTGCTCTATTCCAAAAAAGGTTCCTGCTTCACAATACCTCATACTTCAGTTAACCGTGTTTAGATCAGGTTTTAATGTTCGTTCACAATGCCTCATAGTTCTACTGCAAGCTGCATTGGACATTATTCTGAATGGGTCTCGCGATTTGCAACTAGTTTGTGCTAATGTTAAAACAGCAGACATTTCAGAAGATCGAGTAATGTCAGGTTCTTTTGGTTATGTGTTTTTTTGTTTTGTTTTTTTATAAAGTGGATTCTTTTTTTTCTGATCTGGGGTTTATTATCATAGTAGTTTTTAAGCTGTGTTATTAGCCACATTTGATATATGAAAGGTGCATTATAATATAACTCTTATATGCCCGATGCTTTCCATCACTGGGGAATCATCATGCGGTATGATAGGTTATCTTCTGGAATTTAAGTATTGTGTGTGTTTAATCTGTTATGATATATTAGGGTTTTTGTTGATGTTAATTATAGCATAATGCTAATTTAAAAAAAATATACAAACAACAACCTGTAAATCTCATTAAGTAAGCCAGCTAACAGAGTTGTATGGTGAAGAATAATCTAGTTGCCTGTATGCTGCTAAACCAAAACAGAATTAGAACTTCATTTTTGAGGGCAAACGCAGTTAAGATCCTACCTAAGCTTATTCAAATGGAAAAGGACAGCAGGCTTGTAAGGCTTCTAGCATTCGCAGGACCCACGAGGACTGGATTCATTCTGTCCAAATTTCAGGAACATTTCTTACTGCTTACCTCATAGACATTTCTGTTTGTGGCATCTCTGTGTCTCTGAACCAAACAAGATTATTGAGTTAGTGGTTATTGGTTATATTATGTTTTGCTCACTGAGAGCGGCAGCGTGTACTGCAAAATTTTAAGTATTGTATGTACTAAAAGGCCAAATGCTGATAAGCGGGTTCACGTGCCAACAGAGATGCTTTATTTGTCACATTGTTATAACGATCTATAGAAAGCAAAACAAATCAGATTTGTATCTTTAAAAAAATAATAATATTGTACTTATTGGCATCACTGGTCTGAAATGCACATGTTCACCAACAGACCTGTAACAGATAAGTTTCCAGCAAAAGAAAGAAGAATAAAGACCTCCCCTAAAAGTCTAGAAATAAATTTGTAAAACCCAATGCTTGTGTCCTGTGCTTTTATTCAGTGGGAACGGTTTGTGAACCACAAATCTGCTGCACTCAATTATCCTTTATTTTTAGAAGCGTTCATGGTTCAGTATAGTTCAGTTTGGTATCTGTTCTATAAAGATTGAGAGGTTGAGTAATGTTGTCACACATTGCCAGAATAAAGCAATGATCAGAATATATTCTTGGCACAATCCTTCCCAAACTCACTAACACAATGCAAAGTTTCTATATAATGGATCACATTTTTTAAAGAAGCCTTTATTTCATAAACATGAGGCATTTACAAGGTTGTCTCAGTCCTTGACAGTGTTTTGCAAAGTTCCTAATGAAATATATGGGCCAGCATTTTCTTGCAGTTTGTTAAACATGACCAAAAAAAGCTTTCACTTTTCTATTAAGTGTAACACTAGATTCTCTACCTGCTCTGACTAATTATTTTAGTTTTAACATGTGGACCACATCCCATACCTTTACAATACAGTGGTACCTTGGGTTACATACGTTTCAGGTTACATATGCTTCAGGTTACAGACTCCGCTAACCCAGAAATAGTGCTTCAGGTTAAGAACTTTGCTTCAGGATGAGAACAGAAATCGTGCTCCGGCGGCGCGGCAGCAGCAGGAGGCCCCATTAGCTAAAGTGGTGCTTCAGGTTAAGAACAGTTTCAGGTTAAGTACGGACCTCCGGAACGAATTAAGTACTTAACCCGAGGTACCACTGTACAGTCTTCTGATGTCTAGGTCCTTGCGGTTCTTTTGCGTGCCTGATTCTGTGAGTTACAACAAGTCCTGATAAGTCCTGATTCTGTGAGTTACAACAAGTCCTGATAAGTCCTATGCTGGTGGGCAAGAGTCTCTCAATGGAGCTCCCTCTCTGAATGGGCCCTCCTCCCCACAGTTACCACTGCCCAGTCATTTCCTTTGCGGAGTCCACACAATTGCCCATTGGAAAGTACTGATCTATCTTGACAGCAGCAAAAGCCAGGGGACTCCAGGAGGTATGGCAGTGAGGACCCAGCCCTGGTGCCATCTTGGAAGATGCCAAACAATGCCAACCCCTGGCGCTGGTCCTGCGTTTACCATCAAGACACCTTTGCAAGGTGAACATAATGGTTGATCAAGGATTTGAACTTGGATTTCCCTTGTCCAAACCTAACAAAATTGGTTCCAAATTTAATCCTCCAAGGCCATGCAACATGCATAGGCTTAAGGAGGGATCCATTCAAAGCTACGCAGTTTTAAAAGTCTTCATTATTTCAGTGTGAGAAAGTGGAGCATGTACTACTTGCAGCTTAAAAATTAAAAACGATTTGGACTTTCCTCCTGTTCAGTATCTGAATGATAAGGCCTTAGAAATTGCACATACAGAAACTAACACTAGCAGAAGCCAATGCAACAAGTCCTGCTAGCACAACTGGACTCCTGTAGTTTTATGTTGCTGATACACACAGGCCAGCAAAAATATATCCACTTTTATTCAAATATCAAACAGAACCAGAACAAATTGAAAAGTGCATGATTAAGTGGGCACAAATGATAGGAGAGCTCTTGGTAGAAACGTACGGGAAGTGGCTCACAAATTTTCTTTGAACATAGGCATAAGGAGGAAACTATATAGTAGTGACAAGATGGTATAGTACTCCAGCCAAGGTACATAAAATTAGTAAGAGCCACTCTCCCTTACGTTGAAAATGTCAAGAAGAGATGGGGGGTTGTTCACATGTGGTGGAAGTGCAAGATGGTGAATAAATATCGGAATATAATAAATCACAAATATGTTACCTATGAAATCCTGTTATGCCCAATTATAAAAAAGTATGTCAAACAGTGAGATCAGAAGACAAAGAATTTCCTATATAGTAGCAGAAAATAGACAAAATAAGCTTTTGCCAAATTGGTAGAAATTTATATACAATACAAAAAGACACCGTTTGGGACCATGTACGTAAGTCTCCTGGGCTTACAATATATTAATATATTTGGGTAGCTGAATTAATGCAAATCAGATGTTAACATATTGGGTTCATTATAAGAAAGGTTAATGAATGTTTGAAATGAAGTGTTAAACCTTTTAATAGATCAAGAGATTAAGATGATTGGGTTAAGAAAGCTCTCTGTAGGACTTGAGTTTTTATAGATTGAATATAGTTTTTGTTATGTACTTGATTTATTTTTTGTTTGTATATGTCTGGTGATATGGATTCAACTGTAACTTTTGGTATATGGATGATTTGGATAGAGCTTCGGCAATCACTCGTAGCCAAGTAAGATTGTCTTCCATAAGCACGGTTTTAACAATGTGTCCGTAAGTGACTGTGGAGGCCAATTCTGGACCCACATGTCCTTCCACAGTGGGGACATTGGTTTCCGGGCAGGAGTTGATCACGGTGTGGATTTGCCAAGCGTGCCTTCCTCTAAGCACGTTTCTCCCTTTGGTTCTAAGTTGGAGTGTCTTCAAAGTCCAGAAGAAGAATGCACTTAATCTTTTTACGTGTCTCTTTAGGTCTTGCATGAGTAAAAGCATATTAAAAAGTTCACAACTCTCCCCTTAATTTTTGTTGTTACGCTATAGCAATGAGCATTCATCCTGATTTGCTTACAGGGTGTTTACACACCTTCCTGTCAATAATTCATTCATCCCATACTTTTTGATGCATCCAATGCATTTTTAATCACTTTCCAAATTGATAAAAGATCGTTGTGTGTGGTTTTTATTTTTTAAGTAGATTTATTGCTCTGGGACATGCCCTAGAATTCACTTTATTTGTGCAAACCCATGTGCTCAAATCCCTGCTACAAAATAGTGACACAAGTCTAACGGCAGCCTCTCTTTGGATTCTCAGAGATAACCCTGGAAGATCATTCCATCCAGCCTGACTGAGGAGATGCTCCCCAAGTGGTGCCAGTTAATTCCAGTGCTTCCTAGTATCCTTCCTGGGCAGTGAGAGAAGCTTGTTTCCCTTGCCTTAGGCTTGCCACCACGGACCCTGCATGGACAGCAGTAGCAACAAACGAACAAACTCCAGAGAACCAGAGGCATTCACTCCCCAGTCCCATTCCAGCATATCTTTTGCTGCCCCTGCCATCAAGAGAGGAGTTAATTTGCTTTGTCACAATCTGTTGCAAGGTGCATTAGGGAATCACCAGACTGAAATGCAGGGTCCATATGTACCTTAAAACGGAATAAGTGCATAATGAATTGGCTCAGTTTTTATATAACAGTATATTGCTTTTATGAAGGAGAAAATGCATTTCTAAAACATGCAACCACATAAAATATTATCTTATTTAAAACAGATTATATAAACTCACGGATTTTTTTTTAAAAAAAGTGTGGTCCGTGTTTACATTTTACAGATTGCATCACATGGCATAGCTCTTGCGGGCAAAAGACATGCTGGAGAGGCAATGTCAACAAACCAGTTATGCCATTGTTGCTATTTTCTAGTTTATGAGTTGGGGGCAAGGGGAGTAGGCTGTATGCAGAGACCTTCCTGAGCCCTGGATCCAGCAAGTGTTAAAATAGAAGTCAGGTTAGCTCCCTGATGAGGTGATCGCCTGGGTGATGGGCCATTAAGGGAACCCAAGGAAAGGGGCTCTGTGTGACATGGCAAATGGGAGGTGCCCCTCCACCAGCTCATGGTTAGTTAGCAGGAAAAGCCATAGTTGAGTTGCAGTGATGGTGGATAGAAGAAAAAACAGCAGACTGGAGACAGAGGCAGAGCAATATTTGATTTCTGTCTGAATTCAAGGCTATGGGAGAAAGAAGACCTTTTTGTGGTGTTGATGTTGTACGCTCCATCTTACACTCAGGTGGTATATATGTGTAAATAAACCTTATATCATAAAGACACCACAGTCTCTGTTGTGCCAAATGGAAACATGAACCCTTGGTAAGTGCCTGGAACCCCTGCAATTTTGGCACTGCTCAGGGATTGGGGTGGCATGTTACTCTATTATTGTCAAATCTCGACTGCAACGACCATAGAAAGATGCAGTCTTGCATTACTTTCAGGGAGTGGGCTACCTCTCTGGTAGCTGTTCACTATGACCAAATGGTATATGTGGCTGCATTTGCTTATAAAAATAGTAAATTGGGCCTTTAAAAAAGTGTGCCTATACCAAAATTTGTGTTGGGGTTGTTTTTTTTTGGGGGGGGATATTTAAAAGCCAGTTAGAGAACAATGTAGGCATGTGTTTTTAAACTACTGTTCGTGCAGTCTGGTCAGGACTGTGTGACACAGTATACAGTGTTTTGTCATCCAAGGAATGTCTTTGATCAAGAGTTTATGCAAGAAGGGGGGAGCCATGAAACCCTAATCCGTTCCCACAGTCCAGTAAACGTGAGCTGGACAAACACTGGACAATAGCAGTAAAGCTTGCTGTTGGAACAATAGCACCAACTAAAAAAATTAAAGGGCTGCTGACTCACAGTTCCTACATTCAAAAAAGATTCCATGCAATATTGATTAGTCCCCAGATTCAGAGGGGGCCGAAAGATTTAAAACTTTCATTATACCTTCAGATTATTTGAAGAAAGCACTCACTCATGCTCCAACGAAAAGCAACAACATATGCAATCGATCTCCATTTTGTACCAATGCTAGATAAGGAGGCTGTCTAGGCATCACACAATCTTTTCCTCAACAAGGGCCCTAAAAATAGGCAGACCCATTGGAAAATATAATTGTTGTGTCTGCTATGAAATCATTGAGCCCCAGTATGAAACACTTCTAAATTCTATTCAGCAAGACAAAAGATAGATGCTGCTCCCAAAATGTATTGAAGCAGGATTTATAGTTAAGAAGCATGATGGGACATTATTTGGGGAAAGGAAAATGAACGCTTCGGGGGAAACCAGGTACAATTAAAAACAATAAGAAATGGTTGTTGTAACATTTCTGCTTTTAGCACAGTCTATCTAAAATTGGTATTCCCAAAATTGAAAAGGCTGAGGGCTACTTTGTACTTGATAGCTTCCTTTGAAGTGCA